ATGAGGCCAAAGCTGTCCTGGGCAGATGGCCACAGGGGCCTTGCTTTGTCCTGGGGGGGTGAAATCCTGGGGTAAAATACCTCTAAAAACAAAAGTTTAAAACCTGTTTACTGCTTACAAAACTGCAGTCCAGCCCCTCTCTCTGTACTGCTCCAGCAGCAGCAAGACCTGCCCTCCGCCTCGCCTCACCTCTCAGGTACAATTAAGCCCTCGGTTGCCCAGGTAATCACCCATTGATATGGAGATGAACTTCTCTTCACCCCTGAGGAATGATGCAAATCACTAAAGCCATACATCTCTCCACCCTTGAGCACCTGTTGATATGGAGATGTACTAAAGCCAGGCGAGATATTCTGGAAATATTACAATTTTACCTACATCTATCTGGTCCTTGGGTGGGGAAACTGAGGTGCAGAAAGAGCAACTCGATGCAGCTAGGATGCAAGAGCAGGATTTGAACCCAGGCCAGCAGAAAGACTGGGGCATCCCCAGCACTACCTCCCAGGCTGATGCCATCACCAAAAGAAATCATCCTTTCCATTTTCTCCTTAAAATGAGTTTCTTGAGACTAACCCATGCACATAAATCAAAGGGAACAGAGGAGAAACAGCATCTCTCCATTTCCCATCTCTGGACATCCCCACACCCCCAGACTTTCCCCCCCACCCCTACCCCACATCTGCCCCCAGGATGGCCCTGTGGATGCCCCCACACCCATCAGTGTCCCAGAAGAAATGCCCCACACCCTGCGGACATACCCTGCCTTCAACACCCCCACACCCTCTGACTGTCCCAACACCCCTGGACACCCTTGGATGCCTTCATGGATGCCCACTTCTCTGGCTCTGAAAAAGCAAAACGTGCGGTTCTCAGCACAGATCATTAAGAAAGTGGTCAATTAGGTTTAGTGTAATATTTTTTTTTTCCAAGGAAGTGATTACTACTTTTTAACCAACTTTTATTTAAAAAATGATTATACTAGTACCCCTTATCCTCAGGGGATGCCTTCTGAGACCCTCAGTGGCTGTGTGAGTACAACTGTAGTATTTCCAGAATATCTCTCCTGGCTTTAGTATATCTGCATATCAATAGATGTTCAGAGGTGGAAAGAAGTGTGGCTTTAGTGCATTTGCATCATTCCTCAGGGGTAGAGAGAAGTTCATCTCCATGTCAATGGGTAATTTTCTGGGCAAAAACAGTTTGTACCTGAGAGGTGAGGGGTGGGCCAATTTTGGCTTCTCCTAGAGCAGGAAAGAGAGATGGCCCAGGACTGCAGTTTGTGAGCAAAAACTGGCTTTAAAATTTTATTTCTCCCTTGGACTGATATTGGTTTTAGAGGTATTTTGCCCTGGAATTTCCTCTCCCCGGACTTATATCTGGCGCAGTCGGCAGGATTCCTCCGAAACTGAAATCTGTCATAATGGGTGCAACCTGTGGGAGGGCCAGCTCTAGAAATGATGGGGAGAAGTGGCGCTCACGCCGAGGGACGTGTGTCTACACTTGTGTAGACACCACCATTGCTGCTGGACGCACCAACCCTAGCCCATGGCCTGAGCCTAAGACTACTGCTTCTGCCACTGCTGCTGTTTCTGCTCCCAACTGGAGCCTGGTCACAACTATGGAAAGGTACATCTTGATAGAGAAGCAACTGGCTGCTGCTGAGTACCATGCCTTGCTGGCTATGGAGCCCATTGCTTGAAAAGCTCTGACCAAGGTAATAACCACCTATCCCATCGCGAGGTAGGTGAGAAACTGGATGCAAAGGCCACAGAGTGGTATGGCACAGACACCTACTGTATATCATGTAACTGGCCATTTACCTTTGGCATCCCCAGGGAATACTGAAGCAGACACATTTGCCCAGTGCACTGGCTAAAAGAAAAGCCTGCCTCTAATGTGGCCCAATGGCTACATCAGTGTTTGTTGCATGTGGGGCAAAACACAATGTGGGTTGTAGCTGGTCGGTGGGGCTTGCCATTGACCTTTGAAGAAGTCAGCCGAGCCTGGAAGGAGTGCCCTGCAGGTTGTGCAGATCAACAACTGACCAAGAGGGGCCTAGAGCTTCTCTTGGCAGGCTTTGGCCAGTTGCCAGTGATTGAGAGCGGTCTAGGCACCCACTTTATTGGACATGCGTTGCAAGGATGGGTGCAGCAATTAGAAATAAAATGGATGTGGCCCTGGACATTTTGACACATGGACTGGTGATAGCTGGCTCTTCTGGCACCTTGGGGAAAAGGCCTGGAAGCTGGCCTCCTGTGTATTCCTCGAATAACAGCAAAGTGGCCCCCAAAATCACGGTTATTTGCTTCTACAGTCCTTGTGTCCTGGATATGCCCTTTGGCTGCAGCTGCCTCATGATGGCTGGAATGGACGAGCTTTGGACTTAATCTGCGTGGGACTTTGAACCTAACTGAATACTCTGGCTTGAGAATTATGACTGTGTTGCTCTTGTCAAGAAAAAAATGCTTAAAGAGAGGCTTGACCTTGTCTAATGTTTGGTCAAAGTTTTGTGAGCAATCTAGCATGGTTGTTAGGGATGAGAAAACAAGTATAGAAACATGTTGTGTTTAGTGAGAGATTGTGCTGTAAAGTACATTTACTTAATCTGCATAGGCTGAATCCTCTGGCTTGAGGATTATCATGATTTTATTGCTGTTGCTATTGTATGTCATTAGTTTTGTCAGGGAAAGAGTAAATTTTAAGGCAAGATTTCTGGAGGGGTGGCCTGTGGGTAAAATGGTAGTATTGCCAGAATAATTTGCCTGGCTTTAGTACATCTGCATATCAATAGGCATTCAGAGGTGGAAAGAAGTATGGCTTTAGTGCATTTGCATCATTCCTCAGGGGTGGAGAAGTTCATCTCCAAGGGGGCTTATCTGTACCTGAGACATGAGGGGAGGGTGGGTTTTGACTTCTGCTGAGAGAGTCGGCCTGGGACTGCAGTTTGTGAGCAATAAACGGATTTGAAACTTTATTGCTCCCTTTGACTAATTTTGGTTTTTAGAGGTATTTTGCCCTGGGATTTCCTCTCCCTTACAGGCTGCCTGAACCCTGGGTAGTACCAGACCCTATATGTATTGTCTTTTCCTTTACATACACATGATAGTTTAATTTGGAAGTTAGGCACAGTGAGAGATTAACAGTATTAACCTTAAAATTAAGCTGTCAGTTATTTTACGAGCAAAATGTGTTATTTCAGTAACAGCAGAGAACTGCAACTCAGTACAAGACACTGAGGCAGAACCACAGACAAATCCAGAAACTGGAGCAGAGATGGCTCTTTTATAGAGAAAGGGGGAATTAGGGGTTGTACTTAGCAGAAAGCCCATTGAAGGAAAGTGGGAGGCCCACACATCACAGCTACTCCTTATCTGGTTGTAACAGTCTCATTGGCTGGGCTGTTGCTGGGGTGGACAGAAACCTCCCCTTCTCTTACTGGGTGGAAAAGTGGCCAAAACAGTAGGCTTGTGAGGTGTTCTTTTCCTTTCTGTGGGGCCTGCCACAGCCCCGGGGGTGGTGCGAGCTCTTCCTGCTGCCTCCTCACCCCACTTCAGGATCTCACAGCATCCATAAGCAATTAGCAGTAAGCTGGAACAGTCCCAGCCGGTGTTGGGGAGGAGCCGTCCTGCTCTCCCCACTGCCCACGTGCCCCTCCTGGCTGGTGAGAACTGAAGGGAAAAGAAGGGACACGAACTCCATAGTCCATGCAGATTTATTGCTAAACCTGAGAGGGACCCCACTGTTATGGGGAGCAGAGCAATGAAAGCGTTCTCTTGCAGGATGATTGGCTTTTTATGGCCAGGTTTCTTGGTGGGCTTTTGAGGGGAGGGGTCAGGGAAAAGGTGGGCTTGGGGCTTGCTAACGTGTCCTTTAGAGAATGCTTGTAGCCTCAGTAAGATTAACCCTAGGTCTCTCTGAGGTGGCGGATGGGCTTATTCAGAGAGGCGGTCCTCCTGTCCAGGCTTTATCAAGGATGCCGGGTGATGGAGCACCTGCACAGTGGCCGATGAGGTGGCAGCAGGTGCAGATCCCATGCCGACCTGCTGCACAGCAGTGTTCCCTGTGTGGACTCTGCTTCAGGAGAAGCAGCATGCTGCTGTCATGCGGCCGGTGGCAGAGTGGGATGCCTGATGGCGGCTCCGCAGCTTGGCCAGGTGGATGGTCCCTGGAGGCTTCCTGTCTGGACTAAGACCCTAACTGAGGCACTTCCTAGTTTGGCTGTGTCTTTCATGTGCTGGTCTAAGGTTCCTAGAAAATTATCTGAAATCAAATTAAACCAATGGTGGTTTAAAGCTGTGGAGCCCCAAGGGGCCCAGGCTCTTCCCGCCTGCACCCCAGGAGTGGTCGGGACCCACACATGACTCACACGGGGCTGCTCCTTAGGGCCAGGGCTTGGTCTGGCCTGGTGTGTTTGGCCAACTCCTGCAAACCCTTCCTCCCCTGGAGGCCAGTGTTTGTGGCTATATGGGCTCAGAGCAGTACCCAACTCTGCCGGGATTCCCACACCTGCCCTCAGAAGCACCATGGTGTAGGTGTGTAAATGCCTCTTTTTCTGGGAACCCGCAGCCTCTGCTGTGATGGGGACTGTGGAGGTGGTAGATCCCGGCTTCTCCTGCTTTGCTACTTAAGGATGTGATGCCTCTTCTTCCATGGGGCCTGTGGTATGCATGCATCTGTGTTGCATCTGTAGCCAGGCTACTGTTTATTCTTTGGGGAGGACTCTCTGGGCCTCATGGGCTCTGGGAAGAGGCCAGGTCTCTGGTCCAGCTGACCCACCAGGACTCTGAGGTCAGACAGAAGCCAGGTGTGCACCGGCTGAGCTCTGCCATCTGCCAGGGGAAGGGCCTCCCTAGCTGGCCCAGGTGGGGCGGGTGTGCCTTCCTCGGACAAGTCTCTGCCTGAGGCCTAGCCAGCATGGCTGGGTGTGGGTCTTCATGGGGAGATTAATTGGCTCTCTCTGTGTGTGTCTGTCTGTCTCTGTTCCCCATTTTCCACCCCAGGGGGGCTTTCTCTGTGGTCCGACGCTGCGTCAAGCTCTGCACCGGCCATGAGTATGCAGCTAAGATCATCAACACCAAGAAGCTGTCGGCCAGAGGTAGGCTTGCACTGGCTGTGCTGGCGTGGGTCCGGTGCAGATGGCACTGGCTTCAAAGCTGGGGGTGGCCTGGCCATGTGTCCCTCATCTGTGGGTTTGCCTCTTCATTCTGTTTGGGTCTCATGGAGCTCAAAGCCGGTTTCCCAGCTCTGCCCTTTGTGGTCTTCCACAAGTGGACAGTCTGCCTGAGTTGGGAGGCTCTTGGGCCTGCAGGGCTGAGTGGGGTGCTGGCCTGGAGCTGGCCCTGGGCACATGGTTTCCTGCTGCCCCTCACTGCTGCTCCTTTGTTGGGTGGTACCATTCTGAGCCCTCATGAAGTCTGACGGGGCTGGCGGGACAGTAAGGGGCAGGATGTGGGAACTTTGGTCATGGGGTGAGGTGCCACCCTGAGAGGTGACCATGGAGCACAGACTCAAAGGTGCTAGGTGCCCGGATCCGAGGAGGGGGTCTGGCGGGATCCCCGAGGTGGGTGTGGAGGGGCTGGGCTGTCTCAGAGTAGGCCAGGCCCCCTGGGACCTCTACCCCAGAGTCGGACAGGAGGGGGCCGGGTGGCCTCTGGGCAGAGAGCACGAGCTAAGCCTCTGCCAGCACTCCCCACCTCCCAGGGCCTGCTGGCAGCCCCACTAGCTTCCAGACCCAAATTGGGAGGCCCCTTCTCTGGCCAAAGATGCCCCAACTGTAGGCAGTCCTGGCCTGAATCCCTCCCTGCCTTGGTGCTAGAAACCACCGCCTGTCTGCAGAGTCTGTAGTCAGGCAGCTGAGCCGACTTGTGCGATTCACTGAGCTGCATGTGGGCACTGTTGGTTGGGCATCTGCTGTGTACCAGGCTTTCAGGACTGAGCGTTTCCAGGGCCTGGCACTACTGCCTTGTGCATCGAGGTCGGGTTTGCCTTGGGGGGGGGGCATGTGGTCCTCAATGCCTCGTGTGAGGTCTGACTGGGTCCAGCAGCACAAGCTCCTTACATCTCTCACCATTCGTGAGTCTGTGGGAGCTGCTCCAGGGACAGTGGAGGGCTCTGCCGGCCTCCCCTGACCCATTTGTGGTGGGCTAGGTGGGCTGTGCTGTGGGTCTCCAGGTGGCTCTCTAAGGCCTGGTCACCACAGAGGCCTGCAGAGCAGCCCCAGGGTACACCAGGACAGGCTGTGCCCCAAAGTCAGTGTTAAAGGTAACATGGTAACAAGCCTCTCTCATCCACAGGCTTGCTTAGCCCCTCCCACATAGTGAGCACACACACTCACATAAGCCAGACAACTCTACATGCTGGGTGAGAGCACCACAGAGAGCACTGGGCAGTTGCATGGGTCCTGAAGGATGCATAGGAGTTGGTGAGGCTCAAGCAGAAAACCACCTGGGTATGTCTGTGCAGAATCATACAGCTTCCCTGAAGTAACCTCCTCCCCTGTTTATACCTCAAAGTATTCTACATATCAGAGGATCTGGGGTAGTGGAAATCTGAAATTCCAGGCAAGAACCATGATTACCACCCAGTCTTTCTCCTGCCCACTTCTTGACCAACAGCCTGCTTCTGCCACTGAATTCCCAAGGTCGGGCCCCTGAGGATTCCTGGGGCTCCTGTTAGCCCTGCGCTCAGCCTCAGTTTCCATGCTGTCTGCAGCCTGGGATGGGTGGTGGGAGTCAGGGCTGCCTGCCAGGGCCCCTGGGGGTCAAAGGGGCCAGCCTTCTCCTGATGGTGCCCCTCTCTGCCCCAGGAAGCTGGGAGTCCCCTGCTTGGCCTCCACACTCAGTCCTCTGTACTGCACAGCCCTGAGGAGGACTTGGCATTTTTTTCTGTTTAACTCTTTATTATGGAAAATGTCAGATGTCCCCCAGTACAGAGAAAAATCTGGAATGAGCCCATTTCCATGGTCAGTAGCTGCCGCTCCATGTGTTCCGTCTGTATAGGCCCCCATCTCTCTGCTACAATGTCCAGTGTGTTTCTCTAACAAAAGCAAACTCCTGCTTCCCCACAAGGCCTGGAGATCTTACACACTCCTAGCCCCTTGGGGCTTTCCTGGCTAAGGGGGCAGTGGGAGAGCTGAGCTGAGATGGTCTCGGGACCCTGACTCTCACCCTGTGCTGAGGGAGCAGCCAACCTAGTGGATTTGGTCTCCTCACCTGCCACACCACTCTCTACCTCAGTTTCCCCAGTCTCAAAATAGGGATAAACTAGTATCTTGTTCAGAGGAGTCTTGAGGGATAGAGGAGGAGTAAGATGAGGTGCTGCCTGAAACCTCCCTCTGTGCTCCCTCACCCCACAACAACGTCCAGACCCCCTCCTCTGTGAAGCCACCCTGGGTCCTCCTACCCAGCATGGAAACCCCAAGCCCTGCAGATTCCTTTTCCCATTGGTCACTTGCCCCTGAGGCCTGGGACTTGTGCAAGCATGCAGAGGGGCCCTGTGAGGGCCTAAAGTGGAAGTGCCCCTGCCTTTTGTGCCACCTGCCCAGCCCTGCCTCTGCCCCGGAGCTTTGCTCAGGTACTTGGCCTCTCCCCTTTTCATGTCCCAGGGCCTCTGCACCTGCCTTCTCTCTGGAAATGGTTTTTGTAGAATGTGCAGCTGCTCCTCTCCTGTTGGTGATGCCTCCTCATAGACCACCCAGGTTTCATTTCCTGGCGGTGTCTCCCACCTGCCCTCTGGGCCATGTGAGCAGGACCTCACTCACCCCTGTCTCCTGCACTGCCCAGGGCCTGAATGAATGCACGAGTGCACCAGATGTATTGTGAGTGAGCAGACATGCAGTCTGTGCTGGAGGCAGGTCCGTCTCCTGGGCGAAGCTTGGTGGCTCAGCATCATGGGCTCATGTGGCATGCTCCTCCAGGGGCTGGGGTGGAGTGGGGTTGTCCTCCAGGCTCTGGTGACAACTTGGGGCTGGGCCACCTCTGGTTTATGTTCGACTTACTTAGCTGTGTCCCTGATGGGGTTTAGTATGTTAATTTGGAATTCAGAAATAACCTCCCTGACTTTGTAGGAAGATAATCACAGTAGGTTGGCAGAGTCAGGAAGCTGGCTTCCCTTCCCACTGCTACATGCCTGTCCTGAGATGGGCCTTCCTGTCTGGGCAGCAACAGCCTCCCAGCCTTCCTGTGGCTTCTCACTCCCCTCTCAGGCCACATGATAGCATCATCGAGTTTTCATTTCAGGGAGATGTTGCCATGGCAGGTGTATCACATGCCCTTATATGTAATGAGTGCTTCCTGTTCATGGAGATGGGGTCAAACTCTTTCTTAAAAGGATCAATAATTTGCCTAATTATAAAAATAACACAGGTGGTTGTCAAAGCTGGAGAAAAAAAATACAGAGACTGCAATGAAATTACCCATAATTCTGCCCCAGAGTGAAGCACTGTCATCCTGCTGATGCTGTTCACAGGTGGGCCTCCCAGCTCGGGAGCCCATGTGGCCCCCATCCTCCTCTGCCTAGTGCAGAAAGGGGTGGCTGGGCCAGCACCTGTCCTTGGTGGTGGGGTTCAGTAATAAGTCCTTGAAGTTGTTTGCATTGCTAACATGGGTTCCCACATGCAATATTCTCATGATTTTTATGTGTGACTGAAATCCGGCAATACACTTTCCCTCCAGGGCTCCTTCTGACCTCAGCCACATGCAGGTGAGCTGCTTTGCTGCCATCCCCACCTAGGGGATCTGCTGTGACATTACTGGGACAGTTGGCAGAGTTGGAAAATGGGCTGTGGGTTAAATTTGAGTGTTGTGTCTGCGTCTGATTTACTGCACTGAGATTATGTAAGAGAATGTCCTTGTTCCTAGGAAATACACATAATGTGTTACTGGGTAAAAGGGCATGAAGCAGGGGTATGGGGGTCGGGGTGGGGGCTTACTCTTAGATACTCAGGAAGCTACATGGGTGCGTGGAAGGACAGAAGCCCTGTCCATGGGGTTTTGGACTATTGCAGCTTTCCTCTAAGTTTGAAAAATGTTCAGAGTAGTAAGTTCTTAGACTATGATTTAAAAACCCACCCTCTGAACCCACCACCCTACCCTGCACCTTAGCCCTCCCCACGCCCCTGCAAGGACCTTGTGCCAGCTGCTGCCCTGTTCTCTTCCTGGGTCTCATGTATACACCACTGAGCTGTTGCCTGTTTTGAGCCTCAGATGGAATAAGAACCCACACTGTGTGTACTGTGGCTATTGCCTTTAATTTATCCTCCTACTGAGGCATCTTTATTCCTCCTAAAGATGCCAGGGCTTGTCTGCTGATGTCTTAGCTCACAGTGGGGTGGGGGCGAGGGGGTGAGAGATGGGCCAGGGTCTGCCCAAAAGCCAGCCCCACCTTGCATTTCCACCAGAGCCTGCCAGTGCCCCCGTGCCTGGTGTGACCGACCGTTGGCAGCCAGGTGGGCAGCACGGGCAGGTGTTGGCATTCCTGGAGCCTTGCCCCTGGAGGAAGGATGGACCGAGGTGTTCCTGGGGAGGTTCCTGTGTGCAAGAGTGACTTTCTTGCAGGGGACAGGTACATGCTTGTTTGCAGGTATGTCTGAGTTCAGGACTGTCACGAGCCTGCACCACCTCCCACAGCCCAGGGAGAGCTGCCCAATGGGTCAGCAGGTTCCCTTCCTGCAGGAGGGCCTTTGGGTGGCTAGGTACCCCGAAGCCCAGGTGTGGACTAGGGCTGGCAGTGGTCTGAGGAGGCCTGCGGAGCAGCCTTACTGCTGAGATGCTCTGTGATGAGCACATTAAGGGTGTCCTGCTGATGGGGGAAGGCCAGGGACTCACTGGTGAAGCAGGGGCCAGGGTGGGGCTCCCAGGCCCCTGGGGCCCTCCCTGTCCTGGGCAGCCGCCACCCTGAACTCAGAGCCCACACCTTCTGCATGGTTCGGCCACACATATGGGCAGTGGTGTGTGGCTTTGTGGGTGAACGAAAACACATCGGGTTCTTCCTCTGTGGCTGGCCTTTTTCACGCAGCCTCATGTTGGGATATAGCGGTGACAGCACACGTTGACGGGTGTGTCCCATTGTATGACAACAGCCACATTTATTTCTGCATTCTCTGGCTGGCGGAAATGTGGATTTTTTCTGTTTTGGTATTGTAATTTCTATCAGATTAAAAAACCCACCTGGTGCCTTGTTTGTTTGAAATGTAAAATTTATGGCTGATGAATTGCTCGGTTCCAGTGTGGTCAGCCTCTGGAATTGAGGTCCTGCACCTTGTGGAGGCGGGGGTGTGGGCGGTTAGGAGGCACAGGCTGGGGCCTTGGGGCAGTGGGGAGGGCGCGCGGGGCTGTGGGCGGGGCCGGCGCCGGGGCGGGGCGGGGCGCGGGCTGTGGGCGGGGCTGTGGGCCGCTTCCTCTCCGCCTCGGGTTTATTCTACAGTCCTGGAGCGAGTTCCCTCTGAGGCCTGTAGGCCTCCTCCTCCAACGTTGCATAAACCTACCATGCCCCTCGAAATTCAGTACGTGTTGGGTAGATTTGTGCTCCGGTGTGGTGGGGGGCTTCAGGTCATGAGCCCTTTCCCTAGGTCTCCAATCAGAGCCTGGGAGGTCCTTCTGAACCCTCGAGCCCATCGGACCCCCATCCGGCAGACAGCTTTGCTCTGCCAGCCCCCTCCACCTGCGAAGAACAAATTAAGCTACAGCAGAAGCTCCAAATAGCGTGGAGTTAGGACACATGAGTGCCAGATTAAGTAGGCGCTGTCGCGCTGTCCGTTCTGCTGCTCACGTGGGCGTTTTCTCTTTCGAGTCACCTAGGAGAGTCCTGGCAGCTCTTAGCACCCTCCCCTCCCAGCCTCCCGGGGACTCCCGCGGAGACTTCTTCCTGGCCCAGGGCGACCCTTCACCCAGGCAGACGCTGTGGCGGGTGTGGGGAGGGTGGGCACGTCCTGGCCATGGCTCTGTCTGACACTGGGTGAGTGGTCTGGGAGTGCCGGGTATGGGGGTCACAGGCTGCTGATGCACAAGGTGACACCATGTCCCTTTCTGTCCCCAGATCACCAGAAGCTGGAGAGAGAGGCTCGCATCTGTCGCCTTCTGAAGCATTCCAACATTGGTGAGAGGCCCTTGGGGTGGGTGTGGGCAGGACTCACCTCTCCTGGGAAACAAGCAGCCTTCCCTTCCAGGGCTCATCAGAGAGACCCTGCAAGGTCTCCTTTCTGTTTCCATTGATGTCGCCCTAAGGCCTCTGGGAAGGTGGCCTGGCCTGGAGGGATTCTTGGGGTATGGGGCAGCCCCTGTGGGAGATGGAGGCCAGGCTTGGTCTGGACAGGCCCCTCCCCACCCTCAGTGCCTCTGAGCTGTTTCTGGTTGAAACCACAGGGGCCTACATGTTCTGTGGCTTCAGAAAAGCCAAGGGACAGCCTGATACAAAGAAGAGTGTTGGGAAAATGAACTGGTCAAAGGCCACACCAGGCCCAGCCTCTGCCCAGGTGTGAGGTCGTATTCTGGAGAGCCTCTGCCTGCAGGGAGGCCGAGCGGCCAAGCTCCATGCCTGCCCGCGGGGTATCCCTTTCCTCTGAGACCCCAGACCAAGCCTGCGTGGGTGACAGGAGCCACCCAGACCCAAGAGGTTGTTGCAGACCTCAGGGCCCCCAACCTGCACCTGCTGACTCAGTGCATGTCCACTCCTGTGCCCGTGGCCCCTGTGCAGCAGCCTGCGTGCTGCCGCCCACCCTCCACCTCTGGTCCCTTCATGGGCTTCTGAAGGGCCTTTTGCTGTGTTGGGAAGCCACCAGGTGTTGGGGGACGGTGGCTCAGAGGCACCCCAGGAAATTGTCAGGGTGGATTCCTGGTCTCCTGCCAAAATTTTGCTTCTTGTGCCAGGGTGGGGCCCAGGACTGTTCGGAAGGAATACCATGCTGTGTGGAGCAGCCAGCCAGGGACATCCATGCCACACCTGGCCCTGTGAGGGCCTAAAGTGGAAGTGCCCCTGCCTTTTGTGCCACCTGCCCAGCCCTGCCTCTGCCCCGGAGCTTTGCTCAGGTACTTGGCCTCTCCCCTTTTCATGTCCCAGGGCCTCTGCACCTGCCTTCTCTCTGGAAATGGTTTTTGTAGAATGTGCAGCTGCTCCTCTCCTGTTGGTGATGCCTCCTCATAGACCACCCAGGTTTCATTTCCTGGCGGTGTCTCCCACCTGCCCTCTGGGCCATGTGAGCAGGACCTCACTCACCCCTGTCTCCTGCACTGCCCAGGGCCTGAATGAATGCACGAGTGCACCAGATGTATTGTGAGTGAGCAGACATGCAGTCTGTGCTGGAGGCAGGTCCGTCTCCTGGGCGAAGCTTGGTGGCTCAGCATCATGGGCTCATGTGGCATGCTCCTCCAGGGGCTGGGGTGGAGTGGGGTTGTCCTCCAGGCTCTGGTGACAACTTGGGGCTGGGCCACCTCTGGTTTATGTTCGACTTACTTAGCTGTGTCCCTGATGGGGTTTAGTATGTTAATTTGGAATTCAGAAATAACCTCCCTGACTTTGTAGGAAGATAATCACAGTAGGTTGGCAGAGTCAGGAAGCTGGCTTCCCTTCCCACTGCTACATGCCTGTCCTGAGATGGGCCTTCCTGTCTGGGCAGCAACAGCCTCCCAGCCTTCCTGTGGCTTCTCACTCCCCTCTCAGGCCACATGATAGCATCATCGAGTTTTCATTTCAGGGAGATGTTGCCATGGCAGGTGTATCACATGCCCTTATATGTAATGAGTGCTTCCTGTTCATGGAGATGGGGTCAAACTCTTTCTTAAAAGGATCAATAATTTGCCTAATTATAAAAATAACACAGGTGGTTGTCAAAGCTGGAGAAAAAAAATACAGAGACTGCAATGAAATTACCCATAATTCTGCCCCAGAGTGAAGCACTGTCATCCTGCTGATGCTGTTCACAGGTGGGCCTCCCAGCTCGGGAGCCCATGTGGCCCCCATCCTCCTCTGCCTAGTGCAGAAAGGGGTGGCTGGGCCAGCACCTGTCCTTGGTGGTGGGGTTCAGTAATAAGTCCTTGAAGTTGTTTGCATTGCTAACATGGGTTCCCACATGCAATATTCTCATGATTTTTATGTGTGACTGAAATCCGGCAATACACTTTCCCTCCAGGGCTCCTTCTGACCTCAGCCACATGCAGGTGAGCTGCTTTGCTGCCATCCCCACCTAGGGGATCTGCTGTGACATTACTGGGACAGTTGGCAGAGTTGGAAAATGGGCTGTGGGTTAAATTTGAGTGTTGTGTCTGCGTCTGATTTACTGCACTGAGATTATGTAAGAGAATGTCCTTGTTCCTAGGAAATACACATAATGTGTTACTGGGTAAAAGGGCATGAAGCAGGGGTATGGGGGTCGGGGTGGGGGCTTACTCTTAGATACTCAGGAAGCTACATGGGTGCGTGGAAGGACAGAAGCCCTGTCCATGGGGTTTTGGACTATTGCAGCTTTCCTCTAAGTTTGAAAAATGTTCAGAGTAGTAAGTTCTTAGACTATGATTTAAAAACCCACCCTCTGAACCCACCACCCTACCCTGCACCTTAGCCCTCCCCACGCCCCTGCAAGGACCTTGTGCCAGCTGCTGCCCTGTTCTCTTCCTGGGTCTCATGTATACACCACTGAGCTGTTGCCTGTTTTGAGCCTCAGATGGAATAAGAACCCACACTGTGTGTACTGTGGCTATTGCCTTTAATTTATCCTCCTACTGAGGCATCTTTATTCCTCCTAAAGATGCCAGGGCTTGTCTGCTGATGTCTTAGCTCACAGTGGGGTGGGGGCGAGGGGGTGAGAGATGGGCCAGGGTCTGCCCAAAAGCCAGCCCCACCTTGCATTTCCACCAGAGCCTGCCAGTGCCCCCGTGCCTGGTGTGACCGACCGTTGGCAGCCAGGTGGGCAGCACGGGCAGGTGTTGGCATTCCTGGAGCCTTGCCCCTGGAGGAAGGATGGACCGAGGTGTTCCTGGGGAGGTTCCTGTGTGCAAGAGTGACTTTCTTGCAGGGGACAGGTACATGCTTGTTTGCAGGTATGTCTGAGTTCAGGACTGTCACGAGCCTGCACCACCTCCCACAGCCCAGGGAGAGCTGCCCAATGGGTCAGCAGGTTCCCTTCCTGCAGGAGGGCCTTTGGGTGGCTAGGTACCCCGAAGCCCAGGTGTGGACTAGGGCTGGCAGTGGTCTGAGGAGGCCTGCGGAGCAGCCTTACTGCTGAGATGCTCTGTGATGAGCACATTAAGGGTGTCCTGCTGATGGGGGAAGGCCAGGGACTCACTGGTGAAGCAGGGGCCAGGGTGGGGCTCCCAGGCCCCTGGGGCCCTCCCTGTCCTGGGCAGCCGCCACCCTGAACTCAGAGCCCACACCTTCTGCATGGTTCGGCCACACATATGGGCAGTGGTGTGTGGCTTTGTGGGTGAACGAAAACACATCGGGTTCTTCCTCTGTGGCTGGCCTTTTTCACGCAGCCTCATGTTGGGATATAGCGGTGACAGCACACGTTGACGGGTGTGTCCCATTGTATGACAACAGCCACATTTATTTCTGCATTCTCTGGCTGGCGGAAATGTGGATTTTTTCTGTTTTGGTATTGTAATTTCTATCAGATTAAAAAACCCACCTGGTGCCTTGTTTGTTTGAAATGTAAAATTTATGGCTGATGAATTGCTCGGTTCCAGTGTGGTCAGCCTCTGGAATTGAGGTCCTGCACCTTGTGGAGGCGGGGGTGTGGGCGGTTAGGAGGCACAGGCTGGGGCCTTGGGGCAGTGGGGAGGGCGCGCGGGGCTGTGGGCGGGGCCGGCGCCGGGGCGGGGCGGGGCGCGGGCTGTGGGCGGGGCTGTGGGCCGCTTCCTCTCCGCCTCGGGTTTATTCTACAGTCCTGGAGCGAGTTCCCTCTGAGGCCTGTAGGCCTCCTCCTCCAACGTTGCATAAACCTACCATGCCCCTCGAAATTCAGTACGTGTTGGGTAGATTTGTGCTCCGGTGTGGTGGGGGGCTTCAGGTCATGAGCCCTTTCCCTAGGTCTCCAATCAGAGCCTGGGAGGTCCTTCTGAACCCTCGAGCCCATCGGACCCCCATCCGGCAGACAGCTTTGCTCTGCCAGCCCCCTCCACCTGCGAAGAACAAATTAAGCTACAGCAGAAGCTCCAAATAGCGTGGAGTTAGGACACATGAGTGCCAGATTAAGTAGGCGCTGTCGCGCTGTCCGTTCTGCTGCTCACGTGGGCGTTTTCTCTTTCGAGTCACCTAGGAGAGTCCTGGCAGCTCTTAGCACCCTCCCCTCCCAGCCTCCCGGGGACTCCCGCGGAGACTTCTTCCTGGCCCAGGGCGACCCTTCACCCAGGCAGACGCTGTGGCGGGTGTGGGGAGGGTGGGCACGTCCTGGCCATGGCTCTGTCTGACACTGGGTGAGTGGTCTGGGAGTGCCGGGTATGGGGGTCACAGGCTGCTGATGCACAAGGTGACACCATGTCCCTTTCTGTCCCCAGATCACCAGAAGCTGGAGAGAGAGGCTCGCATCTGTCGCCTTCTGAAGCATTCCAACATTGGTGAGAGGCCCTTGGGGTGGGTGTGGGCAGGACTCACCTCTCCTGGGAAACAAGCAGCCTTCCCTTCCAGGGCTCATCAGAGAGACCCTGCAAGGTCTCCTTTCTGTTTCCATTGATGTCGCCCTAAGGCCTCTGGGAAGGTGGCCTGGCCTGGAGGGATTCTTGGGGTATGGGGCAGCCCCTGTGGGAGATGGAGGCCAGGCTTGGTCTGGACAGGCCCCTCCCCACCCTCAGTGCCTCTGAGCTGTTTCTGGTTGAAACCACAGGGGCCTACATGTTCTGTGGCTTCAGAAAAGCCAAGGGACAGCCTGATACAAAGAAGAGTGTTGGGAAAATGAACTGGTCAAAGGCCACACCAGGCCCAGCCTCTGCCCAGGTGTGAGGTCGGATTCTGGAGAGCCTCTGCCTGCAGGGAGGCCGAGCGGCCAAGCTCCATGCCTGCCCGCGGGGTATCCCTTTCCTCTGAGACCCCAGACCAAGCCTGCGTGGGTGACAGGAGCCACCCAGACCCAAGAGGTTGTTGCAGACCTCAGGGCCCCCAACCTGCACCTGCTGACTCAGTGCATGTCCACTCCTGTGCCCGTGGCCCCTGTGCAGCAGCCTGCGTGCTGCCGCCCACCCTCCACCTCTGGTCCCTTCATGGGCTTCTGAAGGGCCTTTTGCTGTGTTGGGAAGCCACCAGGTGTTGGGGGACGGTGGCTCAGAGGCACCCCAGGAAATTGTCAGGGTGGATTCCTGGTCTCCTGCCAAAATTTTGCTTCTTGTGCCAGGGTGGGGCCCAGGACTGTTCGGAAGGAATACCATGCTGTGTGGAGCAGCCAGCCAGGGACATCCATGCCACACCCAGACCAGGGCTTCAGTCCCTGGTGGCCTTCTGTGTGGGTTGCGGGTGGGCCTGGGCCCTGCACTTTCCTGCAGCAGACCCTCAAGGCTGAGTCTGTTGGAATCCCTGGCATGCAGATTCCTGGCCTGCCCCCAGAGAGCCTGACTTGGAGGCTGGGGGCAGGCCAAGAACTGGAATCTTTGCCAGGCAATTCTGATGCAGGTGTCTGTGGGACCCCAGGCCCTTCTTCACGGCCTGGGGACATCAGCAGTCGGTAGGCCTGTGGACCTCTGTAGCTGGCCTGTTGCCCATTCACATAGGACCAGATACCAGGAACCTGTTGACTCTTTTTCCTGGTGCCCCTTGCAGGCACCATCCCCATTCCAGCCCCTCCCCTGCTCCACTGAGCACGAGCAAAGGGTGGGTCCCCATTCTGAGTGATTTTCAGGTCTCCCGTGTGTATGGTAGATGACTCAGGCATTCTTTGGGTAGTGTTTTGGATGGTGTTTCAACAAGATGCCTCCCTGCCCTGCCCAATTACAGATTCTAAGAGCATTCTGGGTCAGTTCTTACTGGGCTGACAGTCCCTTGTAGCAGCTTCATTCCAGGATGCAGGGAAGGGAGCGCCGAGACACAGGGTGCAGACAGGAAGCCCAAGGACTTGGGAGGTAGCACTGAGATGGGATACTCTGTAGACTCAGGGGAGGCTCTCTGAGGTGTGAGTGGGGGGTTGAGAGGAGCCCCTTGCACCACTCTGGACAGGTTGCTCCAGGCCCCCTGGGTGTGAGTTGGGACCCATTCAGGGAGCAGGAGCTCTGGGGGGCTTCCGTTTCCACTCTGGCCTGCTTAGGATGTGTGAGGAAGGAGCCTCAGTCTCCCCAGGGGCCACCTGGGGGAGCTGGGATGATTGGTGTAGTGAGCAGGGCACCGGCTGGGGTCCACTTCTGGGGTGCCCTGCTGAGTCTGGGTGCAGAGGCCAGATTCGGGCATCCTCACCAACAAGCTTGCAGCTGACTTCTCTGAGACCTGTTCTGATGTGTGCAACGGAGCGTAAGTGCCCTCGAAGGACTTCACCCTTGTATCAGTCATCCATGCTGCGCCATAAATCACCCCAGGCTCAGCCCAGATGCATTGACTTTCTCCATTTCCGTGGATTTGGGGCAGTGCAGCTGGGTGGGCAGGGCTGTTGCATACTTCGTGGGATCCGTGCAAAATGAAAATGTGGGCCCTTGGGTCAAAATTTAAGAATTTCAAGACAGCAACAACACAACAGGGCCCCCCAAGCCTGGGGCCTGGGGCTGCTCAGGGGCTGCTGGTGGTGGACACTGGCCAGGACTCCAGGCTCTGAGGTCAGCCTGGAGCCTTGGTTTGCTGCCCACATGGCTCCCTGACTTGGCTGTGGGCAGGGCCTGTGTCCTGTGTCCCTCCATGGCAGGTGCCTTCTCAGGGTGACTGGGTATCTTCAAGACATGGTAGCAGGCCCTAGAGTGCGTGATAATAGAGACAGAGCAAGACAGAGTGATAGAGACAGACAGCAGAGAGACAGACACAGAGACAGAGACAGAGAGGGAGGCAGAACAGGGAGCACAATGCTTTCTCTCAAGGTGGGGTAGGGCACATGTGTTCTCCAAATTTTAGGTAGAGTACACGCAGTCTCAGTCACTTTGGGTAGGCCACACGCAGTCTCAGTCACCTTAGCGCCTGTAAGTGCACAGCTTGGTGGTGTTAAGGATGCACTGCCATCTCCACCGTCAGTTCCCAAAGCGCTCCCATCGGCCTCCACAGATGCTGTGACCACTGTACAGCATGCCAGCCCCTCTGCCCAGGCCCCAGGAGCCCTGTTCATTCCACTTTTGTGAATTTGGCGCCTCTGGGAGCCTCAGGGATGCGAGCGGCCTGTTGGCCTCTTTGTGATGGGCTGGTCTTGCTCAGCAGTGTCCTCAGGGGTCATCCAAGCTGTAACTTGTATTAGAACTTAACTTCCTTGGAGTCCGTGTGCACATTACAGCTGGCATATTCGTTGCCATCCTCAGACACTGGGCTTCCTTCCACCTGTTGGCCATGTGACCAACACTGCCAGGAAGCTGGGGAGTCTGAGCCCCTGCTTTCCGTCTTTGTGTACATACCCAGCAGTGAACTACAGGGCCCTGTTTCGTGTTTGGTTTTGGAGAAACAGCCTTGCCTTCTCATGGTCTCGTCTGGAGGTGTCATGCAGTCACCCTCCCTTGTTCAGTTTATTTGAAGGCCACACCAGGGCAGGGAGCCAAGCCCCGCCTTAAAGGAGGGGCATCAGAGGACTTGGGTATGTTTCCCCTCCTGTGGTGAGCACAGGGGTGTCACATTGGGTGGGTGGCATGGAAGTGGGCCCCAAGAAGCAGCTGCAGAGACAGCACCCAGGCCTGCCCACCCCCAGCCTCCTCCCAGCTTCACCCCCACAATGTCCCTCCAGCTTCTCCCCAGCCTCCACCCCACCAGCCTCCCCTTTGCACACTGATCCTCTCCCTTGGCCTGGATCAGTGATGGCAGAGCTCCATCTGCTTGTTTTTGAGGCTGGAACCCCTTCCCTTGCTGGGCGGTTTGTCCACAAGCTGGGCAGGTGGGCGCCATGATGGTGGCCCTGGGAGGACCTCCCACTAAAATGAGGAGGGCAGTGCAGGGTGGGGAGGGGAGCTTGCCAGGCTCCAGTGCTCAGGGCTCAGGGTGTTGTCGGTCCCAGCACAAGGCACGGGCCTGCCCCACTGACGGGCAGTGCAGGGGTCCAAGGAGGTCTCTGAGAAGCTGCTTAGGGGGGTGGATGGACCCCTACAAGAGGCCCCACCCTGGGACTCGGGGTGAAAGCCTGGAGGAGCTAAGGCCCCATCAGAGGGATGTGTCCTCGGTCCCGCATACTGTGCACCCCTGGAGCTCCCAGACTGGATCCTCAGAGGTGCTTCCTGTACTTCACAGGCTGCCTCTGCATACCACTGTTTACTTAGTGTTTTATTTCAGTGATTCTGTGACAGCTCACTTGTTAAGCCCTGTCTGTGAACTCACAGGTCTGATGTGCTAAGTAGGTTTTCTCCCCAGCCATAAAAATAATATGAACCTATTTCTTAAATTTTAAAAATACTTTAAGAAGCCAAAAGGAAAAGTGTTCACATGCCGGCTCCTTGGCCCCTGTGGACCCTAGTGTCCTGGGTGAGGAGGCTGGACCTGCCAGCAGGGCCTGGGAGCCCACTCCCTCTCAGGGGTCTGGGGCAGGTGGCCTCCACCTGGAGGACCTGGCTTTGGGGATCCCTGGGGCTCCCCTACATGGGAGGCACGAAGGGCCCCTGGAGTGTCCCTTCCCTCTGCAGGGCCTGCCTGCAGGGCTGGTAGGTAGGGGTAGGTCCAGGGCCTTTCTCTGCTTGGAGCTGGAGTGGAGGCAGCTGGGTGGGAAGGCTGCTCAGAGGGGCTGGCACTGACTCCCACCACAAAGGAGGGGGTGAGGGATTTCACAGGAGCGTCCCAGAGGTGGGTTTGGGAGCAGGGGTCCACTGTGCGTTAGGGAGGCAAGGCCAGCCTGGCAGAGTCATGTTCCAGCTGGGGTGGGGGGTGCTGGGGTTTGGTGCCAGGCTGGTTTGCAGGCAGGAGGGAGGTCAGCAGGGCTTTGCATGGCTGGGGATCTCCAGGATGCCCCTGAGGGAGAGGTGGCCACAGCCCAGGCAGCTGGCAAAGGATGTGGGCCTTGAAAATGTCAATGCGTGAGAGCCTGGCCGGGCTGGGGAGGGCACAGTGGGGATGGCTGACTGCACCCTCAAGCAGAGACAGACACAGACCAGGCAAGGAAGCAGGTGTGGGGACGAGATCCCAGGGCCAGGGGCTGCCCCTCATGGGCAAATGCCCTGACCATAAGGCAGGGCCGCCCTGGGTGCCTGGCTTTGGCCCAGCTGGGTTCCTGGCATGAAGACTGCATGGGCCTCATGAAGGGATGCTGTCCCCTGAGAGTGGGCAGTAGCAAGGGAGGGCCTGGGCAGAGTGGGTGCCCAACACCACAGGAGAAGCTGGGAGTGGCGCCCCCGGGGTCTCAGCCTGAAGCACACCTCGTGATCCCTTTGAGCCTGGGTGAGCTCAGGATGGCTGGGGCATCGCCCAGCGCTCAGCCCAGACCTGCAGTCAGGGGGCCCCAGTGCAGGGGGCAGTGTCCACACCCTGCTTTCTTCTTTCAGCCCCTGCTGCGGTGGGGGTCTCCACGGGGAGGTTTCTAGTCGGGGTACTCTTACACAGAGTCCACCTCAGAGCTGTGTGTTCTTGCTCACTCACTAACTCACTTGTTCACACACCCACTCTTCAACCCTGGCCACCTGACCAGGTGTTGTTTCAGGCTCAGGGCAGGAAGGGAACAGGGCTGAGCCTTGGCAGTGATTCCTCCCAGGTTGGGGGCGTGGGGAGCGGCTTTCTTCCATCCTGTGTCCCTGCCCCTCAGCCTGTGTTGAGAGGCTGATGGAGACCTGCAGCTCCTCTGCTGAGAAGCCCCCAGCCCAGCACCCCCTGCTGCTCTCTGTGGCATCTGGGGGCAGCAGCTGGGGCTGAGAGGGGCCCTGCCACCACCCCTGGGCCCTCCGGGAGAGCCTAGCCTGGCGCAGAGGTGCAGGGTGGCATGGGTGGATGGGCAGGCAGCCTGGGCAGCAGCCAGCCCTCAGGCCTCTCCTGTCCCCACAGTGCGCCTGCACGACAGCATCCCTGAGGAAGGGTTCCACTACCTGGTCTTCGATCTGTAAGTTCTGGGGCCCGGTCGCTTGCTCTCGCCTGCTCCCAGTCCCTGGTGGGCAGCCCCCCACTCCCAGGTCACCTTGCTCCCAACTTCACCCTTCTTGTTGGCTTTGTCCCACAGGGCCAGGGCCTCCATGCTGGGCCCTCTCTTGGACGGGTGGGGGACGGACCCCCAGAGGGAGAGGTCAGCCTTCCCTCAGTGCCCGCACCACTGGGGTGCTGCTGGCTAGCATGAGCGTGTGCATGTGTGCATGTGTTTGTGAGTGTGTGTGCATTCATTTATGTTGAGCGAGTGTGAGTATGGGTCTGAGTGTGATTGCACAAATGTGTTGTGACAGTGTATCTGTATGCATCTGTACGCAGGTGTGTATGGGTTTCAGCATGTGAAAGGGAGTACATACATGTGTGGGGTATGTGAATATGTGTGTGATCTGTGGAGGTGTGCATGTGCTCATGTGTGTGGCTTGCACACATGTACAGTTGTGAAATTTGGGTATTGTGTGTGCACATTCATGTGTACAAATGTACATGTGATTTGTGTGTGCACATGTGTGCCCATGTGTGTGTACTGTATGGCTTGTGGAGGTATGTTCACATGTGCACATTCATGTGTGGCTTATGGGTGCACACATGCATTGTGTGTTTGTGTGTGGTTTGTGGGGGTGTCCATGTGTGTTCATATATGCATGTGTAATTTGTGGGGTGCACACATGTGCATGTATGTGTACAGTTAGGTTTGTGGGTTATACATGTGCATGCATGTACATGTGTGTGTGTGGCAGCTGAGGGAAGGCATTGGGTCTTTGCAGCCTGCCCCTTCCCACAGCGTGTAGGAGCAGTACCTGCATCCATCCCCCAGCAACTCCCTAGGAAGCTCTGTTTATTGTCATGAGTCAGTGCTGCTCCAGCTGCAGGGTGCTCAGGGCTGTTGGCTCTGGGTAACCCTTTGTGGCCTCCAGCAGCCGCGGAGACAAGATGCCTGTGTGGGGCAGCTCTTCCTGCATCAAATGATGCTGCCTGGGCCACAGGGTATGGAGACTTGAGGACCCCTCAGCCCACTTGGGATGAGGCTGGGACTGTCCCTGCAGGGGCTGGGCCACCTCTTGGTATACCGGTGTCCCACAGGACTCCACTTCGAGCCGTGTGGCCAGGGCTGAATAGGACACAGCTGCCTGTGAGGCTGAGGCTGTGCCCCACGTCTGTCCCATGGTGCTGTGGGAGTGGCAGGCTTGCTGTCACCCTGTGTGCCCCTAGGCCCATGCAGCTCCCCAGCCTCTCTCACAGAAGGCAGAGGCCCCTGGGCTGGAGGATGCTCGTGTCCTGGACCCCTGCTGGCTAGCGGGTGGGTGGGTGTAATTCAGAAGCAGACAAGGTGGGGAGAGAATGAGGTGTGTGTGTGCACATATGAGAGTTTTTTGTCTCTCCTGGCACATACAACAGGCAGGAGAGGGAGAGGCTGTTGGGGGCCCAGCAAGAGGAATTTGGCTGGTGTTTCTGGATTGGGTGGGGAAGAGGGAGGGCCTGAGCCCTGCACATCTTCCCCCAAACTTCTGTGGCCCCCCGAGCCTGTAGTGGCCCTGAGCCTGCTAAAGCCCCTGCCCTGGGGCATCCAGGACACCCCAGGCCTGGTAGCTGTTTCCAAGATGGGCTGTGGAGGGAAGTGGGGAGCAGAAGCAGGCCCTGCCCACACTCCCAGCCCCCTGGCCATGCTGCCCACTCTCTCCCGCTCCATGGCACCAGAATTGGGAAACTGTTTCTGGCCCAGATCAACATCACCTTCAGGAGCCCTCAAGGCCCCTTGGTAGTCTGGGGGCTCTGTGGACTCAGGGGTTGGCAGGTTTTTCCACTCTCCACACATTGGGCTGTCAAAGGGCCCTGGGGACCAGGCCTGGGGACAGAGGGAGGGGCACCCCATGGGCTACAGCCTAGAGTAGCTGTGCCATCCAGCCAGCATCTGAGCAAAGGAAGAATGGGAGTAGGTGCTGGCCTCCCGACCAGGCCCTTCCTGGTCAGTGGGATGCCAACTCCCAGCAGCCAACCCTCTGCCCTACAGCTTTGGAGCACATGGCCCCAGGTACTGGTCACCCTAGACTGGAGCCTCCTGTGGACACAGGGGCATGAGAGCCTGTCCCAGGCCTGTGTGAATCCTCCTGGGGGGGTTTCTTGCACCTCCATGATGACCCTGGCCTGGACCTGGTGGCCTTTTTGCCTCTGCTGCTTGCACTTGGGGTCTGCAGAGATGGACCTATGAGCTCTGTATGCAGGGAGAAACAGTGAGTCCTCCTCTCCTAGGCTGGACCTAAAACTACATCCTGCTCCACATACACATGCACAAGGAACACACAGGCACACCTGTGCACAGGCTCAGAGGTACACACATAGGCACAGTTACACACATGCTCTCGAAGGCAGAGAGACACATGCACACACAGGCACAGAGGGGCACATGCAGGGGCACATGTGCACAAAGGCACAATAGGGCACACGTGCATATGCAGGCACACATGTGCATACTTTCACATGAGGTTCTGTTTCTCTTGGGCCATTTCTGCCTACCTGCACTGAGGCTTAGCCTCCTCCAGTGGCAAAGTAAGACCCTGAATGTGTCCAACAGGATCACAGGCAAGCGTCCGGCTAGAGCAGGGACAGGCTACCACCCAGCACATCCTCGTTTTTGTGTTTCTCCAACACTAAGAGCCCACATGTGCCAGGGCCACCTGCTTGGCAGTGTCACCCCTGCGGTTGTCCCTGCCATGGGCCAGCTTGGCTGTGTTGCTGGACACAAAAATCAGGCCACCCAAGCCCCACCTTTGAGAACTGATGGGAACAGAGAGGACAGTGGCTGGTGTAGGGCTGAGGGGGCTCAGAGGGCAGTGCCCCTTGGGGTCCTCACAAGACATGGGCAGGGGGGTTCTGGATGCCTCAGGGTGGGCAGCCCCAGATGGAGTCACTGGCGGGCTCAGAGCCTTGGTGGGTTAGGGCTTGACCAAGGCTGCCTCTCCCCCCCCCCCACCTGCCCTGTGCCTGCTCCTCACCCCTGCTTGCTTCCCCTTCTCTCCTGGCCCTTGCTTCCCTGTAAGTGCCCATGTGCCCCTCGGTGCCTGTGTGTTCTGGGTCCCCGGAGGCCCTCCAAGTACAGTAGCTCCTGCCCTGGGGGCCCATTCCGACCTGAAGGCCACTCACTGACCAGGGTCTTGGCATGAACCCCTAATGGCCTTGCCCACCAGGGTGGCCAGGTCAGGGCACAGGGCCGGCTTCACTGCTCTGTGCCAGGCCACCACTCCCGGGCATGTGAGGGGAGAGCAGATGTCTAGATAGCGCCTTGGGCCAGGGTCAACAGGGCTGCTTGGCAAGTCCTAGGAGCTTTGCCTGTTTTCTGAGCAGTGCCAAGGCCTTGGAGTAGGCGTGAGGCTCAGTGTAAGGGTGCCACGTGTGCCCCTGGGTGAGCTGTCCCAGGGGACAGTGGCTATGGGGCTGAGGTGGTGGTAGCCTGGGGGTGACACTGGTAATGACATGCAGAAGCTGGCAGAGGGGTTGGGGGTGGGGTCTCCAGAAGCCGTGACCCCTGTCTGCTTTGCCTGCAGGGTGACTGGTGGGGAGCTCTTTGAGGACATTGTGGCCCGAGAGTACTACAGTGAGGCCGATGCCAGGTGGGTGTGCTGCCTGCACCGTCCTGTGCCTCCCCTCTCCCCGTGCCCACCCACGCCTCTGCTCCTGCGCATGTCCTGCTGAATGTGGGGTGGGGGTCTGCCTGCCTGCTGAGTGTGCCCCTATGCTGGGAGCCCTCTGAGCCGGGCAGCTCCGGCGTCACCAGCGCAGGGCTATGGCTGAGTCAGAGTGGCCCAGGCTCTCAGCATCTTGGGGTGGGAGCCCCCACAGGGGTCTGTCCTCAGGGTGATGGGGGTGGGGAGCAGAGTGGGGTTGTGGGCGGCTTCCCCGCCATGGGGCATCTGTCCAGGTGCCACAGAGGACACCACTGGGCGCCATCTTCATGGAGGCGTGAGCTCACAGGGCTTCCAAAGGATGGGATGGAAACCCCTTTCCATGGCCTCTGGCCAAGGCCGCCTCAGAGGGTCCCGCACTGGGAAGATGCCTGGGGCTGTCAGGCAGCCGGGGTCCCAGCGTCGGGAGCTCTGCTCCTCTAGGTGGGGCAGCTCCTCCTGCAGGGGCCATTCTCCCCAGGCATGAGCAGGACTGATGGCTGCTGAGGTGCAGCGTGGCTGCAGGGGAATGGCAGGACGCCTCCCCTGAAGGGCAGGCCACCATGACCTGCCAATGCCCGTGCTTGGGGCCAGATGCCACCATGGTCCTGACAGGATGCCGCTTTTGATGGTGCATCTCACCCCTGCCTGCCCTGCACAAGGAGACATGCCTGAAAGAGGGGGAGGGCTGACAGTGGCCCTCTCCAGGTGGAGTTACAGGTGCTTTTTAATTTTTGTATCTTTATTTTTAAATTTTCTTTAATGAATACATATTACTTTACTAATTAAGAAAATGAACGTTATTTTTTGAAGTAGCTTTTCCAACTTGCTCCTGTGCCCACAGGCAATGTTGCCCTTCGGCTATGGCCTGTGAAGGATGAGCGGGTCCTGGTGGAGCCAGGAACTGCCGCAGGGTTCTGTCACCCTCCAGCCTGCCCCCTGGCTGCCCTGGCCCTAACCCTGCACTCCCAAGGGCAGGCATCTGGACCCTTCGTGGGAACTCTGTGGCGGAGAGCTCCCCTGGCCTGAGGAGCCCAGTGGGCCTGGCCCAGGGGGGATGGGGCTCTGGGAGTGGGCCTGTCCACATGCCTGGTGTCCTGTCACAAACTCTATCTTGTCATTGCCAGGCTGTGAGGAGGGGTGAGAGGGAATGAGGGGCCTTTTGAGCAGCCCCCACCCCACCCCTGGCTGTCCCAACTGATGAAACCTGTGTCTCAGGCTCTTTTCCGAGGAGACTTGGACCCAGTTGGAGATGTCCTGCACTTGACCTTTGTGCTACTGGTTGGCCTCCACGCCTGGCGTGGATGCCCACGTGGGAACTGTGGTGTGCGCGGGAGGCTCACTCTCATGACCGGAGGATAGTGGCCTTGATTTCATTTGCAGGGAACCTCCACTGAAGGGCGTGTGGTGGGGGCAGGTGCTGCCTGGCTGGGAATCAGTGGTCCTCCCAGGGTCCTGTCCAGGGCCGTGCTGCTCAGAGCTGAGCATGGTTTTCCGATGTGTTGCATCTCCAGAGAAGACGAAGCGAGGCACGACGTGCGTTCTGAGCCCTTTTCACCAGGAGCCTGAGAGGCTCTTAGGGAGCAGACCTTTACTGTAGAGTCTCGGGGGATTGGAGAGATCTTTTTTCAAACCTGGGAAAGCAAAGTTCAAGACATTTTAAAACCCTAAAAAGTGGCGTGGCTCTTGAGAGATAGCTAAAGGGGCCCAGTAAGAATCTGGTTGTCCCAGGAGGGGGGCCACTTCTGAGGTGACCCTCAGACAGAACCAAGACAACATGACCCAGGACCCAGCCAGCATCTGGAGTGGTTGCGTGGGGACAGTTCCTGACAGCAGAAGTGACTTCCAGATTGCTCAGAACATGAAAAAGGCCCCCTGAGGAAGTCTGTACAGTGTGAACAGAGGGCAGACGGCAGGCAGGCCCTAGTGACTGGCCACGTCTCAGATGGCAGTGGCCCTGGAGGGCGGGGTGTCCAATGGGCTGCTTTCTGGCAGGTGGCTGTCCCGTGCTACTGTGGCCACAGCATTGGTCCCCACGTGGTTCTGGAGACAGGCCAGTGCTGCCACACTGGTGGGTGCCTAGTAGCTTTGTCTTGAGGAACATAGTCTGCTTAGCTGGCAGGTCTGCAAGCTCTTGGGGTAAAGTTAGCGGAAGTCAGGCTGGCCGCGAAGCCTGGCTTGCATGGCCTGCCATATGGTGGGTGGGTCTCCCATCAGAGCTGCAGGGCCTGATGTCTGCAGTTTGCAGGGTGGGTGCTGGCTGGCATCCCTGGTGCACTCTGGCACTGATTTGGGCCCTGCAGCCCCAGGAGGGACAGGGATATGGGAGCACATCCCACCCCCCTGAGTGGATCGTTGGTACTGTGGTGATGGATCCATGGGTCCCAATTTGTGGAACATCGTCCTGCAAAGTGGGCCAAGGACACAGTGGACAGGACAGAGCCAGCAGGGCTTCACAGTCCAGTGCAAAGATGGAAGCTGCCCAGGCACCCACACAGAGGCCATGGCTGCTGCATGACGTGGGTGCCTCAGCACTCCCGATGTGGAGAGTGGAGGGCGTCCTTCAGGACCAGAGCTGAGGAGAGGTCACAAGCGAGCAGACAGAAGACAAAGCTGAACCCAAATCTGCAGCGGTGTCAGCAGGTTTGGGGTTGGAGCCAGGCCACTCTGGGGCTTGGGAGCAGCCAGAGGCCCAGCCTGTGGGCTCTGAGGGCTGCTGACATACTGAAGAAAGAGCAGGGCACACGGATGTGCCCCTGGGGCAGAACCAGGGTCTGGCTGCAGCAGGAAGGGCTGGTCTCCTGGAGTTGTGCAGGCTCCTGTGGGTGCTGGGGATTCTGAGCTGAGCACCATTTGCAGCTGGGAGCTTTTCCCCGGGAATGCCAAGTCCCTGGGGCTTCACCTGGCCTCTGCCCCTACCCAGGGCCTTTGCTGATCTGAAAGCTCCCCAGGATAAGGCCCCTAAATGAGCTTGCAGTGGCTGGCCAGCTGGCAGGGGCTGAGCCTGTGGCTGCAGTAACGGGGGGCTGGGGACACAAGGATGGGGATGAGGATCACAAAGGACTGCTCTAGGCAGATGAGGGCACTGTAGGAGGCTCTGGAGTGGGTCAGGCAGGAGGGAGCCAGGGGAGGGGCCGGAAGGCCCCAGGGCATGGGGCGTGGGGTCTGTGGTTCTAACCCTGAGGGCTGTGGAAGGTTGGGGGACCACCCAGCTCCTGACCCCACAGCCCACAAGAAGCCATCCCTATGGGGACTCCTGGTCTAGTCCTGGGCTCTGTGAAGGTGGCTGGGGCTGCTTGGGGGGGGGAAGGCTGGTCCCTCAGCCCTCTGCGTTTGCCCTTACAGAACAAAGTGCATCCTGACAGCACACCTCGCTCACCCCACAGGGTCCAGGCATGGCAGGGGTCCTGAGAGAGTCTGCCTGCTGCCCCCCTGCCCCTGAGGGGCATGATGGAGACCCTGGGCAGTGGGCTCCGGGTGGCCTGTGGCCCAGGGTGGCCTGTGGCCCTCCTGTCTCCAGGGACTGGCAGTGCTACAAGGGTGGTGCAGGACCCCAAGGAGCTGTGCCTGGCTCTGGGGGCAGTTGGAACCTGTATGGGTACCTGGGGCACCCTGAGGCGGGGGGCAGGCTCAGGCCACAGTGTCTTGAGTGCCCCTGGGCTGGGGGCATGTGGGGCTGGTGTGTGGGGAGTCACAGCATGGTGTGCCTGAGGGAGCCAGGAGCACTTCCTCCAGCCAGTCCCATCCAGGGAGGCCCAGGACTTCTCCCCCACCTGGAAGGAGTCCCCTGGCTTGGCCCCGAGTGGTGCCCCTCGCTGGAGAGCTTCCAGGACCGCAGGGCTGCTAGGGACCTGAGCTGTCTGGTGTGGCAGCCACTGCCAGTGTGGACACTGACTTTTATTACAGTGAGGTAACACAATGGCTGCAGCATTAGCCGTGCCTTGAGCAGGTGGACCTCACACTGGGGCACCAGCCCACCCTCTCCCTTGCCCACTCCTGGCCTGGCACCCCTCCAGCCTGCCTTACAGGGCAGGCTCAGCCCTGGCCTTCCTTCCACAGGGCGCCTAGCTCCGGGCCAGGCTTGGTCAGCATGAGCCTGGGCTGGGGTGCCTCTGAGGGCCTGGCCAGGGGGATGGCAGGCAGAGGGGCCTGGCTCTGCCTTGTGTTGACCTACAGCGTAGGATGCCGTCCCAGCCAGCGTCTCTTCTCCCACTTGGCCGGCACCACCTTGATTCCCTCCTGGTGGCCCCCACAGGCAGGGAACCCCACCGATGCCATACACACCCTGCTTTGCAGCCCCCCCACCCTGTGGGGCCACCTGCACTAATGCCCCTGCTGTTTGCCACAGTCACTGCATCCAGCAGATCCTGGAGGCTGTTCTTCATTGCCACCAAATGGGGGTTGTGCACAGGGACCTTAAGGTGAGTCCCACACTCTGCTGTGCCAGGTGGCTGTACCTATACCTGTGTGTAAAAGAGGCCTAGCCAGTCAGTGCGAGTTCCAGGAGACACTGTGTGCGTGGTGGGATGTGTGCATGTGCAAGCATGTGCTTGTGTGGACAGGAGCACACATGTATGGGCACATGTGGGCATGTGTATGTGTGCATGCCTGTGTGTGCACATGTGCTTCCTGTGCATGTTTATGCACATGAAGGTGCACGTGTGTGTGTGTGTGTCTGCGGTGTCCTTCCCAATGCCTCCCATTGAGGGGGCAGTGCATGCCACGCGGGGCTCACTGAGATGCAGACCCAGCAGGGGGCAGGTGATGTGGAGGCAGGTGGGGCTGCTGCCCAGGGGAAGCGGCTGAATGCCAGGCTCCCTGATCTTCACAAACTTCAAGCCCTTTTGCCAAGTCCTGCGACCCTGTGCTTGGCCCGGGGGAGGGCCTCGGGAGGGACAGCAGCCCTCCCTTGCCTCCTCTCTCCCCACCAGCTCCTCTCTACCTCCCCTCCCTCCCGTCCTTTCTCGGACTTCGGTCTTCTCCAAGGCTGAAGGTGGCCACTCCTTCTTGGGGCCACCCAGGGTGTGTGGGACAGTGTCCCTCCAGGAGCAGGCCCAGGACCCTCTTCTATGCTTGTCAGGCCACTGCCTCCCTCTGCATGCCTCTTGTGGCCTCCCTCGTCCTCCTGTCCTGTGTGTCCAGCCCTCTGTCACTGTGTCTTGTCTGAATTGGCCTCACTCAAGGGCCTCTGGGAGGAGGGGCTGCAGAGGAGCACCGTCCCCACCTTGCTCCTTGACCCCACAATTCATAGCTCACTGAGGCCAAGGCATAGAGGCAGGTCGTCTCCACCCAGGTGTGACAGGTGGCCACAGCGTCCTTGCTGAGAAGGAAGCTGCACGGCACCTCCTGCCTGGGGTTGGAGCAGGCTGCCTTCCCTTTTCCGGAGAGGACCCAGCATCTTGCCAAGACAGCCCCCCAAGAGCAGCAGGGGGTTGCTCTCAGCCAAGGTGGGGAGAGCAGAGGGGCTGCTGTGTGGCCCCTGTGGGACTCCAGGCTTCCTGCGCAGGGCAATTTTGCACTCCTGGGGAAGGGGTGCCCGTTCCTTCCCTCTGGGGAGGAGGTGTCTGGCCTGAGGTCCGGTCAGGCCCCCTATTTCAGGACTGTTGATGTGGGTGTGTGGGGAGGCTGTGGCTCCCTGCCCCAGTCACACTGGTAAAACCAAAATGTCAGGGGCCTCCAGTCTGTGCTGGGCATGCAGGGCCGCGTGTCCCTTCATGTGACACTGGGCGGAGTCTTGCCCCCCAGCCCCGTGGGGCCGGGAGAAGCCCCGTTGCTGTGTGCAGACTGGCGTGTGTTCTGGATCTGAGGCCTCCTGGCCCATCCTGACCTGTCGGGTTTGCAAACAGTGTTAATGGGGTCTGTTTGGCAGGGTTGGTCTACCCAGGGGCACTAGAGAGGCAGTGTGGTTTCAGGAGGCTGGCCTGGGGAGGGTGCCAAGGATCCTGGGAGCTACTGGTGATCAAGGGTGAGCAAGTCCCTCAGTGTGAGCACTGGGAGGCACCCAGTGCACAGGGACTCCTGGCCCTTGGGGCAAATGTCCTTCCTGGAAGCAGGGGTCCTGCTCCCTACGGAGGGGGTGTGTCAGGGACCATTCCCTGCTGTGGGCATCGGCACAGGCCCCTTCCCCCGCCCTGGAGCCCACCTGGTGGCTCCTCTTTGCCCACTGGGGGCTGCTGCCCCATAGGGAGGGCCTGGGCTCCCAGCAGGTAACCCCACATCGTGCCTCTGAGCGGCCTGAATTGCAGAGAGCACAGCATACCAGGGCTTGTGGGGTGAGCTTCCTAGCACCCCAAGTTCACTGTTCCTGGGTGTGAGGGATCCGAGCTGGCGCTTTGCAAGCCTGCAGGGCTAGGGCTCCTGTCTGTGTCCCCAGGGCTGTACGGCTATAGGGTGCAGGCCCAGGGGACCATGACTCTGCAGTGCGCCAAAGGTGAGGGGCCCCACAGGGTGTCAGCCGTGCGGGGGTACACCCATGGGGCGAGGTCAGGCCTGGGAACCCATGTCTGCAAACCTCTGTTTTGCCCCGCCACTGTGACATCTCCGGTGTATACCACGTGCTCTCTGGTCGGTCACCGCCCCTGAAGCCTGAGAACCTGCTTTTGGCCAGCAAGTGCAAAGGAGCCGCGGTGAAGCTGGCAGACTTCGGTCTGGCTATTGAGGTGCAGGGGGACCAGCAGGCGTGGTTTGGTGAGTGCCCTGATGGGCAGCAGGGGAGCAGGGCAGGGAGTCACCCGCCTGTGGCGCTTCACGCTGCCCTCTTCCCTCGCCAGGGTTTGCTGGCACACCAGGCTACCTGTCCCCAGAGGTCCTGCGAAAGGAGGCATACGGCAAGCCAGTGGACATCTGGGCATGTGGTGAGGCCGGTGTGCAGGGTGGGGTGGGCCGAGGGGCAGCGTGGAGGGTGCCGTGCCAGCACAGTCCGCTCTGGGACAGATTCACCCGGCACTGCCTCCGGGAGCCAGGAGCCCCTCCCCACCCAGGTTAGAATTGCCAGTGTGCCCCTGCTGCTGAGAAGCCCGACATCTGAGCCCACCCTGAGCTCAGCAGAGGGGTCTGAGCCAGTAGGGCAGCAGGTGCATGGTGGGGTTGTCCCTCGGTGGGGGTCTTCCCCAGAGGGGGCCTTCCTGTGAAGCAGGGTGATGGGGGGCATGCTGGTCTGTCAACGCAAGGGTTTCTGTATGGTGATCGTTGCTGATGCTGGCTTTTGGGGGATGCTCGTGGACCCCAGTGCCCTTACTCGGCTTGCTGGCTTCAGGCAGGGGCCCCCACCTTCACTAAGGAACTGGATTAGGGTCCCAGAGCTGGGCATCTGACTCCCCCCAGGGCTCACACACTGGACACCAGGTGACAGTGTGCAGTGACTGGCATGTGGCTTGTGCTCCTTGGATGCAGGATGGCCGGGGTCTGTGGGACTGGGCTGAGGGGCTGTGGGCAGCAGTGTGAGGCCCTTGCTCTTGCCCCCCCAGGGGTGATCCTGTACATCCTGCTTGTGGGCTACCCCCCCTTCTGGGATGAGGACCAGCACAAGCTGTACCAGCAGATCAAGGCTGGAGCCTACGACGTGAGTACTGGGCACCTGAGCCCCCCAGCCTGGGAGGTGGGCTGGGAGCTGGCCGGGGAAGGCCCCTGGGAGGTCTCTGTCTCCTGCCTGGGGAGGCGGCTTCAGACCCTTTGTGCCCTGTCTTCTAGTTCCCATCCCCCGAGTGGGACACGGTTACTCCTGAAGCTAAAAACCTCATCAACCAGATGTTGACCATCAACCCAGCCAAACGAATCACAGCACATGAGGCACTGAAGCACCCGTGGGTCTGCGTAAGTTGCCGAAGCCTTGGACCTCCCCCAGCGAGTTGACCGTAGGGCTGGGGCCCCTTGTGTAGATGGTCCCTTGTCTCCTGGATGTTGGTAGCCTGTGGCTGGGGATACACTAGTGGGTTTGCAAGGCCTTGGGCCTGGGAGGAAGGGCCTTGGGGTAGGGGGAGTCCTGCAAGTGTGGGGTGTGGGTGGTGGGTGGTCCCTGCTGCCCTGAGGCTATTCCGACCTTCCTCTTTCAAGACTTCTCAGGAACAAAGCTGAGGGCCTTCAGGGTCCCTGCAGTGTGTGATGGCCCCTTTCCCCACAGCAACGCTCCACAGTGGCCTCCATGATGCACAGACAGGAGACTGTGGAGTGTCTGAAGAAGTTCAACGCCCGGAGAAAGCTCAAGGTAGGCTGCTTGCACCTGCACCCACCAGGCCCCTTGGGGAGCAGCTGTGTGTGGGCATTGTCCCAGCCCAGATGGGGCAGGTGGACCAAGTATGCCCACAGCAACACCACCAGGGGCGCCCAGGCAAGGGCCCAGCCTCCAGACGCAGGGCAGTCACCCAGCTGCCTAGCACCCTGCCCCTTGAGGTGTTCCCAGGACTGTGCGCCCAGTCCCCTGGGGCCAAAGGCACCCCCTGACAGCAACATTGTCTCTAGAGAGCACATCTGTGGGTTGGGAGGCTCACGGCCAGGGGAAGGTTTGGGTGGAGGAATAGCCCACCACTGATGTCTGGCAGGTAGGGGAGGCCGGGAGGGAGGCAGGCTGCACAGGGAGGCCCAGCCTGGCCTGCAGGCCCCTCGATGGTCTCCCCACAGCATACCTGTGGTGCAGGCCAGCCTGGGTGCTCCAGGCCGAGAGCACACGTGGATGTGCCTGTCAGGGAGAGGGGGCCATAGGGAGAGGTGAGCCCCGGAGGAGAGGGTGGGCGGGCAGCCCAGGTCCAGGCCCAGGTCCTGCACTGTGTTCATCCAGACGTGGGTGGTTGGTCTTGGCACAGCTGCCGAGCCTGCAGAACCCTCATCTCTTGAAGGCTGTGGCCTGAGTCGGGCCAGGCACTCACCTGCAGAGGTCCGGACAGGGGTCTGCTGGGGGCCAGCAGCCCTGGCCTCAGCTGTGTGTCTCTTCCCAGGGTGCGATCCTCACCACCATGCTGGCCACACGAAATTTCTCAGGTGAGAACAGCCTTCTGCAGGAGGAGCAGGCTCATGAGTGACCCCACCAGCCACCTGCCCCTGTCTCACCACCTGGCCCCTCCCCCATCGCCAGCCCTTGGAGACCCGTAGGTGCCTGGCGGCTGCACCACCACACCCAGGGCCCACCCCGGCCCACCTGGCACACACCCCGGCCCTGTGTTTTGCGTCTGTCCTCGCCGGATGCCCCCTGTCTGAGCTGCCCACTGTCCAGGCTGCAGCTCTGTGTGTCTGTCCAGGCGTGATTGGCACCTCTGTGGCCTCGTTGTCCTGAGTCCTCTGAGCACCGTTTTGTGTGTGGAGGTGAGAGGAGGGTCTGGAGCCTCTTGGTGGAGATCCGGACACGACGGTGGCCGCCTGCTGGCTCACTGAGGGCAGGTGGGCTGGGGGTCTGAGGCCGCGTTGGGAGGCCTGTCGCCGGCACCTCTCGTCCTGTGGCTTGTCTGTGGCCTGCGCCGCAGCGTGGGAGCGTCTGTGCCACGTCCTGTCTGCTTGCGTCCAGCCCCATCTGTACTCTGCTGTGACACTGCTGCCTGGGACGGGCATGCTGTCACACTGCACACACGCCACCCTGGACTCCTCTGGGGTTCTCTAGAGAGAAAGGAGGCAAACGCTCACATGTTGATCCGTGTCCATCTTGTTCTCACTCTCCTGCAAAAGGGGTTCTGGAACCATCCGCCACCTAGACTTTAACTCTAATCTTCTTCTGCTTCCTTTGTCTCTTCTCTTCCCTTCCCTCGCCCACCCCTCGTCTCGGCCGCCCCTCCCCTCATCTCTAACCTGGTGCTAACAGTGGGCAGACAGACCACCGCTCCGGCCACAATGTCCACGGCGGCCTCCGGCACCACCATGGGGCTGGTGGAACAAGGTAGACGTTCTGGACTCATGTCCCGCCTGTCGGCATAGCTGCCCTCACTGCACGTCGCCGCCCCAGAGGCCTGGGAGCCCCTGCTCCCGCCGTGGACACGGCCCACAGGGCAGCGAGTAGCCCCACTGCTCTTAAAGGGGCCCAGTCCAGGTGACCCCTAAGCCACATCTCACCCCACGTTTGACTGAACCGTCTGGTCCTGGCCTCGAGTCTGGGGTCAGGAGACCCTCTGTTCAGAGCCCTCTGCCCTGAGGCTGTCCTCATTTGTCCCCACAAGTCCCCTTCAGAATGACCTTGCTCACCCACAGGAAGCCTTGGGGCTGCTGCTGGAGGTCCATGTTCTTTCTGAGTGGAGGGCCTCAGGGAGAGTGTCATGAGGTAGAGACCCTGCCCCGTGAGAGCCTGCTCGGTGCCCCACCCGCCCCCAGCCTGGTACAGCCCCCAGGGACCATCTACAATCCCTGTCACTCACATGGAGCTGGTGGTCTGGGTCAGGGCCAACGCGAGCATGTCTGCCCTGCGTGCCCCAGGACGCGGGCCTGGCTGGCCCACAAATGACTTCGGAGGCCCCCTCTTGGCTCTTTCTGTGAGATTCCCTCACCACCTCCCAACCTACTCCTCCACTGGTGAGAGTCAGACCTCCCAGGAGGCCCTGTTAGTTCCTGCACACCCAGTGCGACCTGGGCCAGACCCCCAGAGGACTAGCAGCCCCCAAGCATCCCAGTGGGCATGCCCAGCAGGCCCCCAAGGGCTGTCCTGGATCGACGTCGCTTTCTGGAGCAGCAGGGAGGTCAGGGGACGGTGATGTTGGCCTTTTGGCAAAGTCCCTCTGCCCAGAGACAGCAAGCAAGGCAGCCTCTGAGCCACTCTGCTGGGGGCTCCCACTGCGATGCCGCCTGCCTGCAAGTGGACAGTGCATGAGGCCACATGCATGTTGGCTTACCCGGGGCACCAGGGCTGCTGTGTCCTGGGGGGCAGCCAGCGCATGTGGATGGAGCCCCTGCATGGCTGTCTCTGGATGACCAGCTAGGAGATGAGGACAAGGGTGGGCCTCAGGGGCTGAGGGACCTGCCTGTGTGTTGAACAGGGGTCTCAGTTCTGAGGCCATCACTTCTCCATGGATAATGGCCTCCAGCTCCTTGGCCAGCGGAAAACCAGGTGTCTTGAGAGATATTGCAGTTCATCAAAGTGCCCTTGTTGGGTCCTCCTTTCCCTTCACATAGAGGACACTGGGGGGAACAGTGGGATGGCACCAATGGCCTGGCCCTGAGGACCCCTGGTGGGGGTGCACAGAGGCCTCTGCTTGTCTCCTAGGGGCCTGGGGCACCTGCTCAGCTCACCTTGATTCCTGCTGCAGAATAACACATTTGACTTGAGAAAACACAAAGGGGAACCCCTGCGCCTTTGCCTGCCAGTGTAGACAGGAGTCAGCATTCTGGAGTTAGTCCAGGACAGAGACAGGAATTTCCAGGAAGCATGGGGCCAGGAGTGTGTTTGGGACAGGCACCGCCAAGTGTCCACACTGTGCCTGGATGAGCAGGTGCTGGTTGGGGGCTCCTAAGCAGAGCGGGCATCCTGGAGCCTGGGCCACTGGGTGGCCATCTGAGTCCCAGAGGGGCATTTGTTAGGGAGCAGAACCATTACCATCCTGAGAAATGTGGTCTGGAATTTGGGTTTAATAGAATGAGGGGCTTAAACCCAGGAAGGACTGGCCGGAGGCCTCCAACTGCTCCCACACAGGCTGACCCAGGGCAGATGGGCAGAGCTGACTCCATCTCCACTAGCTTGCTGGGCAACCCTGGCTGAGCCTCAGACTAGCACTATTTCCACGTTGGAGTCAGCAGGCCTGCCACCCACCAGGCTGCCCATCTTTGATTGGGGTGGGGTCACCTTGCTTGCCTACGCTGCTGCCTCCAAGACACGCTGGATGCCTCTTTCCTCCTGGCCTCTGGGAGGAGGCTCTCCCCCAGTGTGGCAGAGGAGTGGGGTGCTCCTGTGTGCTGGACACGGGGAGGGGCAGAGCGGCAAGGTCAGCGGGGAGGTGGGGAGCCGCGCTGGCAGGAGAAAGGCCTGAGAGCCCCGCACCTGCAGGCCTGGCCTGGCCCCCCATGGCTTCAGGGAGGCAGACTGGCCCCTTGGGGAGCAGCTGTGTGTGGGCATTGTCCCAGCCCAGATGGGGCAGGTGGACCAAGTATGCCCACAGCAACACCACCAGGGGCGCCCAGGCAAGGGCCCAGCCTCCAGACGCAGGGCAGTCACCCAGCTGCCTAGCACCCTGCCCCTTGAGGTGTTCCCAGGACTGTGCGCCCAGTCCCCTGGGGCCAAAGGCACCCCCTGACAGCAACATTGTCTCTAGAGAGCACATCTGTGGGTTGGGAGGCTCACGGCCAGGGGAAGGTTTGGGTGGAGGAATAGCCCACCACTGATGTCTGGCAGGTAGGGGAGGCCGGGAGGGAGGCAGGCTGCACAGGGAGGCCCAGCCTGGCCTGCAGGCCCCTCGATGGTCTCCCCACAGCATACCTGTGGTGCAGGCCAGCCTGGGTGCTCCAGGCCGAGAGCACACGTGGATGTGCCTGTCAGGGAGAGGGGGCCATAGGGAGAGGTGAGCCCCGGAGGAGAGGGTGGGCGGGCAGCCCAGGTCCAGGCCCAGGTCCTGCACTGTGTTCATCCAGACGTGGGTGGTTGGTCTTGGCACAGCTGCCGAGCCTGCAGAACCCTCATCTCTTGAAGGCTGTGGCCTGAGTCGGGCCAGGCACTCACCTGCAGAGGTCCGGACAGGGGTCTGCTGGGGGCCAGCAGCCCTGGCCTCAGCTGTGTGTCTCTTCCCAGGGTGCGATCCTCACCACCATGCTGGCCACACGAAATTTCTCAGGTGAGAACAGCCTTCTGCAGGAGGAGCAGGCTCATGAGTGACCCCACCAGCCACCTGCCCCTGTCTCACCACCTGGCCCCTCCCCCATCGCCAGCCCTTGGAGACCCGTAGGTGCCTGGCGGCTGCACCACCACACCCAGGGCCCACCCCGGCCCACCTGGCACACACCCCGGCCCTGTGTTTTGCGTCTGTCCTCGCCGGATGCCCCCTGTCTGAGCTGCCCACTGTCCAGGCTGCAGCTCTGTGTGTCTGTCCAGGCGTGATTGGCACCTCTGTGGCCTCGTTGTCCTGAGTCCTCTGAGCACCGTTTTGTGTGTGGAGGTGAGAGGAGGGTCTGGAGCCTCTTGGTGGAGATCCGGACACGACGGTGGCCGCCTGCTGGCTCACTGAGGGCAGGTGGGCTGGGGGTCTGAGGCCGCGTTGGGAGGCCTGTCGCCGGCACCTCTCGTCCTGTGGCTTGTCTGTGGCCTGCGCCGCAGCGTGGGAGCGTCTGTGCCACGTCCTGTCTGCTTGCGTCCAGCCCCATCTGTACTCTGCTGTGACACTGCTGCCTGGGACGGGCATGCTGTCACACTGCACACACGCCACCCTGGACTCCTCTGGGGTTCTCTAGAGAGAAAGGAGGCAAACGCTCACATGTTGATCCGTGTCCATCTTGTTCTCACTCTCCTGCAAAAGGGGTTCTGGAACCATCCGCCACCTAGACTTTAACTCTAATCTTCTTCTGCTTCCTTTGTCTCTTCTCTTCCCTTCCCTCGCCCACCCCTCGTCTCGGCCGCCCCTCCCCTCATCTCTAACCTGGTGCTAACAGTGGGCAGACAGACCACCGCTCCGGCCACAATGTCCACGGCGGCCTCCGGCACCACCATGGGGCTGGTGGAACAAGGTAGACGTTCTGGACTCATGTCCCGCCTGTCGGCATAGCTGCCCTCACTGCACGTCGCCGCCCCAGAGGCCTGGGAGCCCCTGCTCCCGCCGTGGACACGGCCCACAGGGCAGCGAGTAGCCCCACTGCTCTTAAAGGGGCCCAGTCCAGGTGACCCCTAAGCCACATCTCACCCCACGTTTGACTGAACCGTCTGGTCCTGGCCTCGAGTCTGGGGTCAGGAGACCCTCTGTTCAGAGCCCTCTGCCCTGAGGCTGTCCTCATTTGTCCCCACAAGTCCCCTTCAGAATGACCTTGCTCACCCACAGGAAGCCTTGGGGCTGCTGCTGGAGGTCCATGTTCTTTCTGAGTGGAGGGCCTCAGGGAGAGTGTCATGAGGTAGAGACCCTGCCCCGTGAGAGCCTGCTCGGTGCCCCACCCGCCCCCAGCCTGGTACAGCCCCCAGGGACCATCTACAATCCCTGTCACTCACATGGAGCTGGTGGTCTGGGTCAGGGCCAACGCGAGCATGTCTGCCCTGCGTGCCCCAGGACGCGGGCCTGGCTGGCCCACAAATGACTTCGGAGGCCCCCTCTTGGCTCTTTCTGTGAGATTCCCTCACCACCTCCCAACCTACTCCTCCACTGGTGAGAGTCAGACCTCCCAGGAGGCCCTGTTAGTTCCTGCACACCCAGTGCGACCTGGGCCAGACCCCCAGAGGACTAGCAGCCCCCAAGCATCCCAGTGGGCATGCCCAGCAGGCCCCCAAGGGCTGTCCTGGATCGACGTCGCTTTCTGGAGCAGCAGGGAGGTCAGGGGACGGTGATGTTGGCCTTTTGGCAAAGTCCCTCTGCCCAGAGACAGCAAGCAAGGCAGCCTCTGAGCCACTCTGCTGGGGGCTCCCACTGCGATGCCGCCTGCCTGCAAGTGGACAGTGCATGAGGCCACATGCATGTTGGCTTACCCGGGGCACCAGGGCTGCTGTGTCCTGGGGGGCAGCCAGCGCATGTGGATGGAGCCCCTGCATGGCTGTCTCTGGATGACCAGCTAGGAGATGAGGACAAGGGTGGGCCTCAGGGGCTGAGGGACCTGCCTGTGTGTTGAACAGGGGTCTCAGTTCTGAGGCCATCACTTCTCCATGGATAATGGCCTCCAGCTCCTTGGCCAGCGGAAAACCAGGTGTCTTGAGAGATATTGCAGTTCATCAAAGTGCCCTTGTTGGGTCCTCCTTTCCCTTCACATAGAGGACACTGGGGGGAACAGTGGGATGGCACCAATGGCCTGGCCCTGAGGACCCCTGGTGGGGGTGCACAGAGGCCTCTGCTTGTCTCCTAGGGGCCTGGGGCACCTGCTCAGCTCACCTTGATTCCTGCTGCAGAATAACACATTTGACTTGAGAAAACACAAAGGGGAACCCCTGCGCCTTTGCCTGCCAGTGTAGACAGGAGTCAGCATTCTGGAGTTAGTCCAGGACAGAGACAGGAATTTCCAGGAAGCATGGGGCCAGGAGTGTGTTTGGGACAGGCACCGCCAAGTGTCCACACTGTGCCTGGATGAGCAGGTGCTGGTTGGGGGCTCCTAAGCAGAGCGGGCATCCTGGAGCCTGGGCCACTGGGTGGCCATCTGAGTCCCAGAGGGGCATTTGTTAGGGAGCAGAACCATTACCATCCTGAGAAATGTGGTCTGGAATTTGGGTTTAATAGAATGAGGGGCTTAAACCCAGGAAGGACTGGCCGGAGGCCTCCAACTGCTCCCACACAGGCTGACCCAGGGCAGATGGGCAGAGCTGACTCCATCTCCACTAGCTTGCTGGGCAACCCTGGCTGAGCCTCAGACTAGCACTATTTCCACGTTGGAGTCAGCAGGCCTGCCACCCACCAGGCTGCCCATCTTTGATTGGGGTGGGGTCACCTTGCTTGCCTACGCTGCTGCCTCCAAGACACGCTGGATGCCTCTTTCCTCCTGGCCTCTGGGAGGAGGCTCTCCCCCAGTGTGGCAGAGGAGTGGGGTGCTCCTGTGTGCTGGACACGGGGAGGGGCAGAGCGGCAAGGTCAGCGGGGAGGTGGGGAGCCGCGCTGGCAGGAGAAAGGCCTGAGAGCCCCGCACCTGCAGGCCTGTCCTGGCCCCCCATGGCTTCAGGGAGGCAGACTGTGGCTGCTACCAGGGGAGAGTCTCAGGGTCCCTGCAGTGGGGAATGGGACATGACCCTGAGGTGGCTGCCCAGGTCCTGGGATGCCTCAGGGCTAGGGTGCCCCTGCATCACGCGTGGTCCGGAGTCTGGCTGCACCGGGAGGGGCCATGCCCTGGGAGGATGAAATGCAAAGCGAGCAGGCATGGGGTACAAGGGAAGGGGGACCACAGCCCCTTCGCTCATGGATGCTGCAGTGCTCCCAGGGCGAGCCCACTGGACAGGGTGGGACCAAGCCAGACTTCTGGTTGACCTCTGCCTGTGGGAGGGAGATTGATGCCTGGGGCAGAGGAAGGCTGAGAACCAAAACTGCCCCGCAAAGCCCTCTGGCCAGAGCAGCCACACGCATCTCTCTGTAGAGCCAGAGTGGCGATGGGCATCTGGACAGGGAGGAAGGTGTACAGCAGGCGGTGGCCCAGTGGTGGGGGACCCGGCCTGGCCACTGCATCCCCATTAGGGTCCCCTGGGACAGGGGGGCTGTCGAACAGAGGAGCAGCCCACCCTGAGTCTGTCTCAGGAGATAGGTGTGATGTTCTGGCCGGGCGACCGTGCTTTGCATCTCGGGGTCTGTCTGGTGAGCAGCCTCCAGGGATGCTCCCAGGATGGGTCCCAGCCAGGCCCACTGTGCACCACCCTGAGCAAGAGCCGGCCAACCCTACTCAGGTCTGGCATCGGCCTTTGGAGCACTTCCTTCCTGGCCTTGCCACTGGCTGCTTCTCTAACGTGCCTTGGGGCACCGCTTTGCTCTGGAACGTGGGCGGGGCAAGCGGGCAGGACCTGAGACAAGGCCCTGACTTGCTCTCTTCCTGACCAACACCAATCTTGTTTTCTCTTTCTTCTTTCCTCTCCTCACCTTTCCTTTTCTGTGAGGTAAGCTGACTTCTTTCTGTTCTGCAGCCTGTAATTAAAACCAACCCAAGCTGCTGTGGAGGACGCTGGCACTTGGGCCCAGGGACTGGGGGTGTGTGGTAGGCCAGGTGGCGGACAGGCTCATGCAGATGGGGAGGCAGAGCCAGGCCATCCTGGAGGTGGAGGTTACCTGCTGGGTCTGGGGCCCCAGGGCGGCGGGAGCCTGGGTGCTTGTGGCCTCTTTGGTCCCTCCCTACCTGCGTTGCCTGCTGACCACGTCAGAGCCCAGGTGCTTTGGGGGTGGGCAGAGAGGCTTGTGTTGGCCCAACCAGTACTGCCTGAAGGAGACCAGAAATGGCCCCAAGACCATGGTGCAGGCCTGGGAGTGGCCAAGCCCACCCTGTGTGGGTGGCCAACTGCCACATGCCTCTGGAGAACATGGAGAACCACAGAGGATGCCCACCACCCTGACATGGGGCCCCGTGGCCCTTGGCAGAGCCTACATGCCGCCCACAAGCTGAGAGCCCCAGGTGGGAGGCGATGTCTTGTGTCCCCCATGGCCATGGAGTGTGGCCAGGGGAAGGGCCTGTCCTGGGGACCAAGGTCCTCTGGTAGCCCTGCTCGGTCCCCCTAGGCTGGCCCTGCTCAAAACTGGGCACAGACCCTCTCTGTTCCCTACAGGGCACAGAAGCCACCCCTGCCTCGGGTCCTGCTCTTGGGGAAGCCCAGCACCTTGCAGGCCTCCAAAGCCGCCTCATGCAGGGGGTGGGCTGTGGCAGCTGGGCTTGGGCCACTCACTCACAATGCCTGTTTCCTCCTGATGCAGCAGCCAAGAGTTTGCTCAACAAGAAAGCAGATGGAGCCAAGGTGAGGCACTGCCGGAGCCTGCAGCTCTGCCCCACATGAGGCCCTCCTGGAGCCAGGCCCAGGGAGCGGGGTGGCCCCCGTTCTCCCCTAAAACAGTGCCTCTTTCTGTCTCTGCAGCCCCAGACGAATAGCACCAAAAACAGTACAGCTGCCACCAGCCCCAAGGGGACACTTCCTCCGGCCGCCCTGGTACTGAGCCCCATAGCCCCTGCTCCCTGGCTCCTCACCCAGCCATGTGGCAGCCCACTGCTGGGAGGCTGGGTGAAGGTGGGGTCCAGCCTCCAGCCTGTCTTTGAGGATGATGCTTGGCCCCTCCAGGCCCTCTCGGGGCTGGGCTGGGAGCCCCTCTTGGGGGCAGGGATGGGGCCTGCCTCCTGCTGTGCTCACTTGTGGGTTGGCAGCCAGAGACCTCCACGGGCCAGTGAGGCCCAGACCCAGTACCCATTGCGCCACCCTCAACTCCACTTGCAGCAGGCTGGCCCAGAGCCCCAGCTGGCTCTGCAAGGGGAGAGGCAGGCCAGGCAGCAGGGCCCCCACTGTGTGAGCTGGGGGCTTTGGCTTCTCCCCAGGAAGATGGGAGGCCTGGTCTTAGCTTCTGAGCCTGCCCAGTGATCTGGAGAGAGACCCAGAGCCCTTGGTGGTCTCCCTGGTGATGGCCTAGCAGCCTGCAGTGGGTGATGGAGAGGCACCTGAATGGCTGTGCGGGCCTGTGGCTTCCCAGAGAGGGGGGATGCAGGAGCTCCCTGCAGCGGAGTGTCAAGCAGACAGGAGTTCAGAGGGTCCTACTGGCTCTGGCCCTTGCCTGGGGGGTCCTATCCAGTGGAACCCCCAGCTGGCAATGCAGGCTGTAGCTGGCGGGTTCTGACCCTCCTCTCTCAGATGCCATGTGCCTATGGTGGCCCATGTAGAACAGCCCATCCCTAGAATTAGGGGCTTGTTGGTTCACTGAACACACTCTTGGTGTCCCAGCAGGACCCAGGCCCTGCTTCTGGGAACCTGCCCCAGATCCCTCATGGGAAGGTTGGGCTGGCCTTGTGGCCATCCAGCTCTTGGGGGTCGGGCTGGCCCAGGAGGGGAGGGTTTCACACGCTGGTCTCACAGCCATCCCCATCTTGGACTCCATCCATCTCATGTGTCCCCCTGGCTCCCACCACAGGCAGGGGCCTGGGCACCAAAGGGTGGTGAGGGCTTCCTGGCGCTGTCCCCTGTGGGTAGGGCCTGCATGCCTGGCAGATAGCTGCCCTGTCCTTGCTCCCCTGCTCTGCTCCTGCTGTCACCTCTGCTCTTGGTGCCTGGCACTGTGGCTGGGCGGGCTGGGTGCCCTCTGCTCACTGCCTCTGTGCATCCTTCTCCTCAGGAGCCTCAGACCACCGTCATTCATAACCCCGTGGATGGAGTCAAGGTACTGGTGTGCCCAGCCACCTCTTGGGAGCTTCTGCTCAGGCAGGACGCAGACCCCAGCCTGGGACATCTGGGACGTTGACGCTGGGAAGCATTAGTGCCAGGTTGGGGGTGGGGCAGGAGTGCAGTAACCCCTCCTCAGAAAGGACAGAGCCCCACCTTTAAGCCTGCGGGCAGCTGCCCTTGGAGGCTCAGTTGTACCAAGGCCACCACAAACTTGGAAGCTGGGCTCCCAATGTCGAGAGCATGTCCACTTCTCTGGACCCTCCTAGCTGCCTTATGTGCTCTCCACCCTTACCTGGCCATGGCCAGGCCCACACGGCAGCTGAGTGTAGGGCCTACGTGGGCTAGGCAGGGGGCACAGGCCCCCAGGACCTGCCTACTGCTCGCCCTGCTGGCACCCACTCCTGTGTGCTCTGGCCTCAGTTCCTGTCCCATTGGCGGCGTACCCTGGGGCAGGGAAGGGGCTGGCTCCCTGGACTGGTGCGCGGATGGCTGGGCAGCTGAGCCATTTCTAGGAGCCCTCACTCCACCCAGGCCTGCAGCCAGACTGCCACTGGGCCTGGGCTCCTAAAAGAATCCCCACAGCCTAGCCACTGGCCACAACTAGGGACCAACCCAGACTTCATTGGCCAGAGGGATCTTGGGGACCTATTAAGATTCCTTCTGAGGAACAAGTAGGCCTCTTTGGAGCTTTGCAGTGGGTTGGAGACACCAGGCGCCTTGGGATTTCAAAAGCCCACTTTCCTCTCTTGTTAGTGTTGTCTGAGCACGTCTTTCCACTGTCCTGTCTTGTGGGGAGAAGGCGAAGTCAGGGCCCTTGCCTCTGGGGATGTGGGTGGCTTGGCCCTTGGGGTGACCCCTGTGGTTTCCAGGGCTGGGGCCTCCCAGGCTCTGCCTTGATGCACTACCCCTTGTGTCCCCAGGAGTCGTCTGATAGCACCCACACCACCATAGAGGATGAAGATACCAAAGGTACGTGCCATTCCTGGTGGCCATGGCAGCAGGCCACCCCTGTGCAGGCCTGTGTCTGGGAGTGGGGATGAAGAGGCTGGCGCCTACCTCGGGGTGTGTCTGGCCACAGTCCCACTGGAGCACTGACAGCCGGTGTCCAAGTGGCTGTTGGGCTGGCTCTGGGAGCCAAGTGCCCAGTCCCCTGTGGGGACTGAGTTCGTGGTTGAATTAGTCTCTTAAAGTTCCTTGAACTTGGGACTCTGCCTGGCAGGTGTCTGACAAGGGGGTGCTCTGTCCACACTGAGTTGCTGGCCTGGCCCTTGCCCCATAGGGCCCCTCCTTGGTTCTCTGCTTTCTCAGCCTTCCCAAGGAGGCCTGGTGCCCCTTCACCCAGCCCCCCATGGGGCTGCCCGAGCTCCTGGCCACACACAGGGGTACACAAGGGCTGGAGTGTTGCCTGGGGGATGCGTGCGTGTCCTGAGCACTCCCACGCCCCAGAGCAGAGGTGAACACAGGGCTTTAGCCCCTGGACACTCCCGTGCCTCCCCTGACACAGGCCAGAGCCACCAGCACGGGGGCCACCCACACCACTCTGAGCCCTGGTGGTGTGGCTCTGCCTGCACTGGGGCTGTGTGGGAGACTGAGATGGCTGAGCCTGCAGGGCCTGTGGGAGAGGACCCGCCTGCCAGCCCAGCCTCACCGAACTCCGACGTCCCCATGGGTGGCTGGGCAAGGGTGGGAGGACATTGCTGGGTCTGGCTGGCGAGGGTGGGAGGACACCTGAGTGGCCTTGTCAGCCAGCCAGGCAGGTGCCTCAAGCACGGTCAGATGCTGAAAGACCCCAGTGGGCACACACTCATGCCTGCTCACACCCAGCCTGCCTAGCCTTGATGTGACCATGCAGCCCTGGGCTTGCACAGAGCTGATGCCAGCCCAGGAGGCCCCAACTCCGTGTGGTCTCAGGGTGGCCTGGAGCTGTCGTCAGCGTGGGGCTCTCCAGCTCAACCCCCTTGTCCTGTCCTGCCCCATCTTCCATTCATGTCTTGTCTGTCCGCCCTAGTCGCCAGGGTCCCTGACATCCTGAGTTCCATGAGGAGGGGTTGGGGGACCCCAGAAGCAGAAGGCCTCCCACCCTACCTGGCTCCGGCTCCTAGTACCCCCCGCCTACCCTGTGTGAGTAGTCGGGCCCCTGCTGCTGCGGGGGTTCCCTCCAAGGCCTGAAGCCTCTTAGGAGTGCTCCACAGCCAAGGGCCAGCTGAGCTTGGGCTCCAGCTGGTGCCCCTCCAGTCCCCCATCCGTGTGGGCCTCTTCACTGGCTTATGGGGGCTGCCCGGCCCACCGTCCTGCTCTGGCTCCTGGCTCAGGCCTCCCTCCAGCCTCAGTCCGGGGGCTTTTTGCTGCAGATACAGGCCCTGAGTGGGAGCCAGGGGCCTTGCAGTGCTCCTCCTGCCCACGTCACTTCATGGGTCTGCCTATGTCTGCCCCGGCCCCCGGAATCTCTGACATCCAGAGCTCCGTGAGGGGCTCAGGGACCCCAGAAGCTGAGGGACCCCCATCCACCCAGTGTAAGTAGTACCCCCAGGCCTGCTGCCTCTGCTGAGCAGGCCCTGGCCTTGCTCCCCATCTCGCTCAGGCATCACACTGACTTCAGGGGGCCCCACACCAAGCAAGTGCCCAGCCAGGGTCTGGGGAGCTTCAGACAAGGAGCTGTTCCAGAGAGCCTGCCCGCCCACCTTGGGCCTCCCTGGTGCGCCTTCCATTCGGTCCTTCAGCCCTGCAAGCGCTTCCAGGCCTCGCCATACTGAGCTGCTTCCCTCCCCTGGGGGCCAGGAGCCATGCAGCTTCCCACCTGGATAGGCAGGGGCAGGTGCCCACCACCTGGGGAACCCAGGTCCCCCACCCCTGACCCTCTGTCCTCCCTGTCCCCCCAGGTACTTCCAACTCACTCTGTGCCCCATGCCCCACAATCTCCCTCTGTCTTCCACATCCCCAAATCCCTCTCTCCTTCTCTGTCCTCCTAGGTACCCCATCCCCTCTGTCCCCCCATCCCCATCCCCCATTCCTCCTGTGCCCCCTACCCTCCATGTCCTCCATCCCCTCTGTTACTCCAACACCCCTCTGTTCTTCATGTCCCTCCATCCCCCATGTCCCCCATCTCCCCAAATCCCTCATGCCTTCTCTGTCCTCCCAACACCCCAGGTCCCATGTCCCCCGGTGTCCCCCCTCCCCCACATACTTCTCCAATCCCCATTCCCGCATGACACCCTATGTCCCCTCATGACCCCTTTACCCCTCTGATTGGCTCATCAGCCCATAGGTTCTCTCTCATGCATGACCCCGTGCCTGCCCCCACCTGCCCCCAGCCTGCCTGTGCTCCCCCACCTACCCTGTACCCCCACCTGCCCCCCACCTGTCTCATGTTCACGTCTCGTCTGTTCCGCCCTAGCCCCCAGGATCTCTGACACCCTGAACATGGTGAGGAGGGGTTTGGGGACTCCGGAAGCCCAGGGCCCCTGCCCCTGCCTGTCTCCGGCACCCCCAGGCCCCCTGCCTGCCCCCTGTAAGTAGCACCATGAGGCCCTTCTGGCTGTTCTGGGAGCCCAGGGGGTGTTGAGACCCGACGGCAGTGTGCTGCCCCTTGCTCTGGGAAGGGACCAGCCTGGGGGCCAAAAAAGGCGCTGGGGGACTTGGGTGTGCAGATGCCCAGTGTGAACACATGGGGAGAGAACCAGAGGTGTCCGCAGAGTGGGAGGCTGGTCCTCCCCACCATGAGTTTCTGCTATGGAGGCGACCAGGTGTGGCGGAGGGCGGCAGTGGCGAGGCAGCAGGGTTGAGTCTGGGGTCAAGCCCTGCCCTGGGGTTGAGGGTGCAGGAGCAATTCTCTCACATGGTGGTGCTTGGGGTGGGAGAGCAGAAAAACCTAGTCTGCGGTGGCCTGCACTGGGCAGCGCTGCCTACAGGGCAGGGAACAGCCGGCTGCTCCAGCCCGCCTGCCACCTGCCCTTCAGTATCGCTTACAGGGATGGATGACACCCCAGGGCTGCAGGGTGCGGGGAACACAGGCAGGGGTGGCACTGAGGTGCACTGGAGACGCTGCAGCAGGGCCTGGCATGGCGGGGGAGTGGCTGGGTAAGTTCTTGGGGCGCTGCCTTGTGCCCATCCCTGGCAGCCAGGCCTGGGCCCAGGGTAGGGCAGGGGGTGCAGCCTGCAGGCTCAAGGACCCAGGAGGGCATGGGCAGCTCCTGCCTTAGCCCACGGGTGAGGAAAGTGTGGAGGCCTCTGGGGATGGGAGGACAGTTGCAAGACAGACCAGGGTCCTGCTGGTGAGGGCACAGGTGTACAGTGGGGCTGTGGGTGGCCAGAACCCCGTATGTCTTGACTGAGGGTAGAGGCCTCCGTGTCACCATCTCCTAGACACTCATGGCCCCTGGCTTCACAGATGAAGCTGAGGCTTGTAGACAGGGTGAGTGTTCCCAAGGGGGCCACATGCAATGAGACCGTGAGCTCCTAGAACAGGCCTGTGGTGGGCACTGGGTGCCCAGGCTAACCTTGGGGGCTGCAACACAGGCCCATCCCTTTAGGAGTCTGCCCTGAGCTTGACTGGGGAGGTAGAGACCATGGGTGATAGGATGGCGGAGCGTGCTGGGGCTGAGGGCAAGGGTGCTCCCTGCCTGGCTCCCCTGTAGAGTGGGGTCCTTGTTTCTGCACATGCCCTCCCAAGACCCCAGTCTCCTGGTTCCTTGTGCTGGGGAGTCTGCAGGTGAAGGCCTGGTTGGGTCAACCAGAAGGGAGCTGGCTCAGCAAGCCTCAGGGGCTCTGTGCTTGAGCTGCGTGTCTCCACGCTCCGACTCTGGGACCAGGGTTGCCTCTGCTAGGCTGGAGGGCTAACCAGTGAGCTGCCCTGGGTGGGCGATGGGACCCCTGCTTTCCCAGGAGTGTGCCTGCCAGCTGTCGTAGTGTGTAGATGGGTTGGAGCTCGCTGGCTGGGGCCACGACCCCATAGTCACTCAGCATCACTTCATTAAGTGGAAGTCACTCACCACAGCTAGGGCGACAATGCAGTCAGTCCCTGGAGACAAAACAGAAGGCACTTGTTCCATGGCAAGGCTATCAGCTGAGGGCATGTGGCATAGGGGCAGCCTGTGCCCTCAGTGAAGAAGGTGAGGTGGGGTCAAGACCTGTGGACCCGCTCAGACTGCCCCTTGGCTCCTGGGGCCAGTAGTAAATCCAGGCAGGAGTCGGGGCTTCCAGGGGGCCGCAGGAAGGAGGTGAGGTCCTGGTGAGCTGTGGCCCTGGGGGAGGTGTCGGGAGCTGGGCTGCACTGGGGTTAGTGGAGCCTGAAGCTGGAGGCCACCTCCACAAAGGGAACGGTAAACGGGAGGGTGTGGATGAGGTCCCCAGGGAGAACAGGCACTCAGAGCTGGGAACTACCCAGGCAGAAAACGGAGAGGAGGGTGGGATGAGGGCAGTCCCTGAGAGGAGAGAGCCTGGCCAGGTGGTGCGGGGGGGGGGGGCGGCCCACAGGCAGGGCACTGCCTGGGTCAGGATGGGCTTGGATGCTGCTGAAGCCCCCCAGGTGTGTGTGGGGTGCCTGGGACAAACCCTGAGAGTTCCACAAGACACAGGAACTGGACCAGAGCAGAAGTGCATCTGGGTCTGGAGTGAGGACCTTCTCAGGACAGGGGAAGCCTGCACACGCCTGTGGGCCCACCCTTCCATGTATCACCCACATGCATGCATGCACCCAACCCCTCAGGTGTCTTGAGCCCCTCTGCTGTCACTGTCCAGTCTGTGCGAGGCAACCCAGGCTCCCGGTGTGCAGAGAGCAACGTCCTGCACATGGACTCGGTCCACCTTCCAAGTGGATATCTGGACGGGAGACCCTGGCAGCCAGCAGTGCTTGCAGGAGGGGGTGCTGGCAGGGCTACAGAGGCCGTGGGCATGAGTTTAAAGTACCAGGGGCACCCTTCCTAGACTCAGTAGTCATGCCATGGGAATTCAGTTCAAGGATCAGCTCACGGTGCTCCACTCTCAGCAGCCCTGGCTGCTGTAGTGTGAAGGGCCTGGTTGCCTGTGGCTGTGCAGAGCTGGTCTCAGCGCACTGCTAGGGAGTGGAGACAGCCATGGGGGCCACACACAGGCAGGAGTAGCAGGTATGGCCAGGACCCAGCAAGGATCTGGTGCAGAGCTCCCAGGAGCTGCCTGGTGCACCAAGCCTGGGCTCTGCCACCAGCACGTCACTGCTATAGAAACCACATGTCCTGTGTGTGCATGCACATGTGCATCAGTGTGCACATCTCTGCCCAGAGTGGTTGAAAACCTTGTTGGACGGGACTCTCCAGGGAGCATGAGAAGGAACGTTTCAGGGGAGCATGTGCCAGGGTCATTCAGGTGTCCTTTCTCAAACTGTCTGAAGCTGCTATGAATGTTGTACAGATTTGAATCAGCAATTCTGTTTCTTTCATCTCTTTAAAATACTCTGCATGACAATAAACTACTTAAAGAGACAGTGGGGGTCCCCAGGCAAGCACCCTGGGGGTTGGCCTGTCCACAGCAGAGGCCAAGTGGGCATGGCCTGGAAGAGGCTGGAGGCACGGACTGAAGGGCTGGCATGTAGGTGGGACTGCACCCAGGCAGAGACAGAGACGGCTGGAAGCCATCTGGCAGCCCAGGGCTTCTGGAGAAGAAGGCATGAGCCTACAGGTTCTGCTCTCCACTTGGCCTGGACCCCCGCACCCTGCAGCCCCCGAGGCCCTCCCTGCTTCACACACCAGTCCTTACCAGGTTCCCCTGAAGAGTTGGACACGGGAAGGACCACGAGAGCAACAGCCAGGAAGGCTGGTCACAGGGTCACAGCTGCAGGGCCCAGGGCAGGCTGGGCCTGGCTTTCTGCATCTTGCAGACGTTCTGTACCATGGCTGAGGTATTTTGGTTATTTAGAGATGTTTTATTTCAGACAGACAGGAGGTCACTGGACCTGGAAACATGGCCGCCCTTGGCAGCCTTAGGTTTGGGGCCAGCTCCAGGCTTCAGGGACCCTCCTGGAGAGGAGAGGCAGTAGGGCTGAGGGCTGGGCTGCTTGGGGTGGGCCTCGGGTCACTGGGTGAGCCCTGTCTCCACAGCACGGAAGCAGGAGGTCATCAAGATCACAGAGCAGCTCATTGAGGCGGTCAACAACGGTGATTTCGAGGCCTACGCGTGAGTCGGGCAGCCGAGTGGCTCTTTGCCGCTGCACAGGGAGCAGGGAGATAGGAAGGGTGGGCACAGAGGGCCCTGCTTACCTGTGTCTGCCCCTCAGGAAGATCTGCGACCCAGGTCTGACCTCCTTTGAGCCTGAAGCTCTGGGCAACCTGGTGGAAGGGATGGATTTCCACAGATTCTACTTTGAGAACTGTGAGTGGAGCAGTGGGTCAGGCTGGGGCACCCTGGGAGGAGGTGCTGGGTGGGGGCACAGGGGCAGCACAGTGCCAAGCCCTCTGCCTACTCGCCTGCCTGCAGTGCTGGCCAAGAATAGCAAGCCCATCCACACGACCATCTTGAACCCCCATGTGCACGTCATTGGCGAGGATGCAGCCTGCATTGCCTACATCCGCCTCACGCAGTACATGGATGGGCAGGGCCGGCCCCGTACCAGCCAGTCCGAGGAGACCCGTGTGTGGCATCGCCGTGACGGCAAGTGGCAGAACGTGCACTTCCACTGCTCGGGCGCACCCGTGGCCCCACTGCAGTGAAGGTGAGCGCCTGCACCGCGGGAGGGGCCATGTGGGGCCGTGGGGGCTGTGGGGACCCCAGTGGCTCCTGGGCGTAAAGGCTGGCAGCCTTGCAGGCCCGCCATCGGACAACGCACTGGGGCAGCTGACCCGCCTCGCACCGTTTCAGGCTGCGGCCACTCTGCGGGACTGACTTGCGTCTGGAGCCCGGCCGCCCCCCAGTGCACGGCCTGCTGTCGCATGTTTGTGTCTGCCTCGTTCCTCCCCTGGTGCCCGTGTCTGCAGAAAACCAAGACCAGATGTGATTTCTTTTTAAAAACAAGATGACAACAATCCCCAAAAAATTGATGTGGACTGATATGGAAACAAAGGAAAACACTGTAAAAATCACTGGCTTCGGTGGGGCTTCAAACCAACTGGCTACTCCTCATCCAAGCCCCGTGTGTCTGTCTGCCTGGCCTCCGAGGACAGCTGGCCAGGCCATTAACATGTACACAGGAGGCTGTTCCCAGACAGCGTGCATCAGCTGGCACCTGCCCCCAGACACCGCATCCTCCCTGCCTGCCTGGCTTGAGTCAGGAGTGTTAGGCGTCATCTGAGGCGGTGGGCAGGAAGGTGGAGCCTGAGCGTGGCTGTCCTGTTGTCCCCCACT